CCACCTCCTAGAACCCAGTCTAGAGACCAGGACAAGTGTTCTGGAACAGACACCCTACCCTGCTAGAGCAGGACTGGGTTTGTGAATTGGGTTTGATGATACCTGCAGCCTTTGCTCTCTGGCAGAGGGTTCATAGCAAACATGTAATGAGTTAAATGGGTTCACAAGGTGCGTGCACATGTTCTGCACCCACCTAAGCCAGTTCTCTGTCCTGAGCAAGGATTGCCAACAGGGCTTCTGCGGCACGAACCTAGCATATGAACCTACCTAGATCAGTGTACCATAGTGAAAATCACCCCAGCTCTCGGCATTTCCACATAGAGTGGTGATGTCTGCGTTTGTTGAGGATGAGTGAGGACAATGTCTCACGGAGTACCATCTTCTCTCCCTGTGAACTCTTGATTTCCCTTCACACCAGACTTTCCACTCTGCCAGGGGCTGCATGGTCACCTGACCCTATGACAGCCAGCGTGAGACACTGTATCCCCACAGATGGCCCTCAGGGGCTCTCCCCTGCCATGAGCTTCCTGAACCAGTTGCTTTTCTAGCTGCAGCCTCAGCAGGTCCTGAACAGATCCCGTTGGTTGATACCAAAGCAAAAAAAGTGAGCTCCTAGGTCGGGAGCTCAGCAAGAGTTCCCTGCTTCAAAGAAAATGTGTAAGAGTTTAGCAAGTGCTAAGGTTAGGGGATCTGTGGCCCTGCTATCAGCACGTATGGCCCTCAAGCTCCCTTTGCCTCAGAAAGCTGGGCTGGACGCAGGGTGGACTACACGCAGAAAGCAGAAAATGCCCCAGGAATTGTCACTCTTTCTGCTTCACTCGTATGTGCCTGAGTCTGAGAAGATGAGCTAATGTGTTGGTTCCTCTGTGACATCCATGCACGCCTGAACCCCGGATACACGGGCCCTGGCACTGACCAGGAAACTGGGGACTGGGGAAGCCTCCGTCTGCAGTAAATTTAAATTTAAGCTGGAATAGTGGCCAAAAACTGTCCTGTCCCTGGCGCCTATCCTTTCCCAGCCTGGCCTCCAAGAACAACTTGTTCAGCTCTTGCCTTTCCCATGAAGCCCTTCAGTCTTAGTGTGGATTTGCCTGTTCCTGGATGCTGGTATTTTAGAATCACAGGGCCCTCTTTCTATAAACCCTCCACCTTACCCTTGCCTCCTCCTCCCCTCCATCTTTCCCCTGCCTCCTCCTCCCCTCCATCTTACCCCTGCCTCCTCCGCCCCTCCATCTTTCCCCTGCCTCCTCCTCCCCTCCATCTTTCCCCTGCCTCCTCCTCCCCTCCATCTTACCCCTGCCTCTTCCGCCCCTCCATCTTACCCCTTCCCTAAGATCCCGTAAAAGCTCTCCTGTAACCCATGCAGCCCAGAATGGAGGAAGCCATGATTATTCATTCTCATGCAGCCTCTTTTAGTTTGGACTTCACATCTCTGTGCCCCTCAGCTTGGCAGGCTGGGGAAAGTGGAGGTTAGCGAGTGGGGCTTTCTCCATGCTGCGTCCCCGCCAGGGTGCACCATGCCTGACTCCACCCGGGATAGGTTAATATTCTCCTGCCCAAGGCTGTTTATTATGAGGCAGAAAATGCAATTAACCTTAAGTGGTTTGGGTCACTGACCCAAACTTGCTTTCTCCTTGCTGCCTCTGCCCCCTTGTGAAAGAATAGTCAAAACAGAGACCCGGAATCAGATACACCAAGGAGCAGAAACATAAATGTTCCCATCTTCGGCTGTAGAGTGATGCTCAGAGGCTCATGAGTCACTCTGCACCACACAGAGAATAAATGCCTTCACTTACATGTTTTCAACGCGTATGTACTGTTGTGACTCATAAAACACAGAGTCACTTTAAAACTTTAATAAGCTACTATGACCCGATAACGTCTTTGGGAAGAGAATACCTCCAAGTTTAGCTGGGGATAAGGGCTTTGGGTCCTCTGCCTCTGCTTCCTTGTCAGAAGACAAACAGGCTCAGGCTTGGAGCTCTGACTTTGTGGCTGAACGGCTAATAGCACGGATGCCTGTTTCTCCAGGGTAACCAATGGCAGTATTTGTCTCATACCTTCCCTATGTCGGTTTCTGTATGGTTGGAAATTAGCTTCTTTTGCCACCAAAACTGATGCTCTCAGCTATGTGGTGGTGGCGCATGCCTTTAATCCCAGCACTTGGGAGGCAGAGGCAGGAAGATCTCTGTGAGTTTAAGGCCAGCCTGGTCTATAGAGTTAGTTCCAGGATAGCTACAGCTACACAGAGAAACCCTGTCTTGAAAAAAAAAAAAAACCAACTCATGCTATCTTCTTAAAAGGCAGTAACTACCATGGTGTGAATAATGTTTGAAAACACCACACCCTGCCAGTGTCTTCTACTCTTGCATTCCAGCTGCTCTGAGGGAAGTACTAGCCTAGAACATGCTGCACAGACTGAGCTGAACACACTTCCTCCCCTCCCAGAGGACTCTAATTAGGAATGTAAGTTCATATTCTACGGTAGCAACAAGGAAGGAGTGGACAGACCCTGCCCCAAGAGACAACTGCTGCTAGTAGAGTCCTTTTAAAGACCTGGCTTGTGGCCCACCAGCCAGAAGTCTCACCGTGACAGGAGACCAAAGAGTGTAGGGTTGGGGCTGCTGCTTCAAGAATGTGCTGTAAGAGGGAGCATCAGCCCGCACACGTGGAAGAAGGGGCTCCTTCCTTTAACTGAGCTGTATGGCACTCACCTTTCAGCCTCTGCAGGAGTAAGCTCCTTAAGATATTTGCTAAAAGTTTGCGCATCCTGCCTAGTTCTCCTGTAGTATAGGGTGAGCTGGCGGAGGAGATTGGTAAAGGATGAGCCTTTCATGAAAATCTTAATACTGTACCTGTTGTTGGGGTAGGGCCATGCCCTTCTTTGACTGTCCATGGACCAGGCCACTTCACTGGGTAAGTTCGTTGGCTCCTATACGACACTGACAATTGGACAAAAAGTTAAACATAAACTTGCAGACCAGAGGGCGGCTGAGCCGAGCTGCAGAGCAACTTGGGACATCTGTAAAAACAGAACTCTGCAGGGCTCCAGTTGTTCTGACAGGTCCCTGTAGGTCCTTCTCCTGGCTCACCAAGGGTACCCAGCCAGGCCTGGGAAGTAGAAGGTCTGAGTTATATTCTATGTGACCTTTCAGCCAACCTACCTTCTGTTTATTGAGTGGTTTATTCAACTGTTACAATGAAGCCCTGCCTGCCATGTGTAAGACCAAGCAGGTAGAGAACCAAGGGAAGAAGTTGGCAAGATAAGTATTGTAAGTGTCGTGAGGGACATAGACAGGGAATTGAGATGCAGAGTTGGGGGCAGCCAGCCATTCTGTAGACCTCTGCAGAGGGGCTTTGGCACCAGGACCTCAGAGTAGCAGGGCGAGAGGAGCTACGGAATCGTGTTCCAGGCAGGAAGGCAGAAACATAGCCTGTGGCGTGTTCAGGGCAAAAGAGCTGTTGCTGGAGTGGAGGACAGAGAGTGATTTGGGACGAGCTCAGACAGAGGCAACAGTTAAGCTAAGGTAGGACATTAGAGACCCTGGCAAGAGCTAGGACTTTATTCTGAGAACATGGGACGACACTGACCGTGTTAAGCAGAAGTGAGTAGTGTAATTAAAGATCACTGCCATGTTGCTTGTAATAGATTAGGAGCAGTTTCCTGGGCAAATAACATCAGGTTCGCTTGACTGTACACAGTGGCATGGACTGAGACATAGCTGTGTGCTACTATAGAAGGATTTGCAAAATAACTCCAGAAGAAGACAAAAAAAACAAAACAAAACCAAGAAACTGTATGTATAATTGTGGAGGTGTAGAGAGAAGCTCAGGGAAGAGCGCTTGTAAGCCCCTGGATCCCCAATACTAGGGTAAAATGTGTTATCAATGTGTTGTAAGGGCTAGCAAATGGCCCAACAGATACAGGGGCCTGCCACCAAGCCTAACTGAATAATACAAGTTTCAATCCCTGGGTTCATATGGTGGGAAAAAGATAACTGACTCCTGGAAATTGTCCTCTGACTTTCACAAACTCACCATGGTATACACACACACACACATAGTGTGTACTATATATATGCATATATGTATATATAGTGTGTATGTATAAATATATAATGTATTTTTAAAAAGAGGCAACATCCATGCCTATAGATGCACCTACATATAGACTATTACATAATATTCTGTTTGCAGGCTGCCCCTAGGAAGACCATGGAGCGGGGGACTAGGAGGGGATGGGAACTAACTTTATAGCACATTCCTTTGTACACTTGAGTAGCTTGTACTGTGCTTGTCTTACTTATTCGGCAAACAAAAGACATGATGTCTAAGTTGTGATCACTTTGGTTACTGTGTGGAGAAAGACCAAGCAGGGTGAGCGTGAAATGTACTAGAAGGCTCAGGAAATAGACCAGCTGCAAGATAGGTATGGTTTGACCTGTGGAGTTGGCAATGGAGATAAAGAACAGTGGATGAATTTAAGAATTCTCATCTCTCTGTGGTGTGAAGTTGTTGAGTTTCTCCCAGGTGCTAGAAGTCTCCAAATGCCAGAGACTGTGAAACATCACGCTGTGGAAGACAGCTATGCATGTACACTGCCTTCATATCCACATGCAACTCATAAATCATCTTTATATCATTTTATAAACAAAATCAAAAGTCAGGCACCACAGTGCTGGAGAAGCTTGCTGTCTAGTCAGTCTGGTCAAGTCAGTGAGCTTCAAATTCAGTGAGAGCTCTCGTTTCAGAAGGAAGACAGTGACATTGACCTCTAGCTTTCATGTGTGCATGTGAGCACACACATGCACATAATACACGGATACACTCATACATGCATGCACGCGCACACACATAAACACACAATCACCCTAAAGAGTTACACACTAATACATATGCACACACACACACACACACACATGCATACACCTCTTATGCCACACATTTACAAGTCACCTTGAAGAATACACATTTCTCAATGGAGCTTGTTTTCTTTGCAGAGAGATGCCAAAGGCCAGTACCTGTTTGACCTCCTTTGCCACCACCTGAACCTACTTGAGAAAGACTACTTTGGGATTCGATTTGTGGACCCAGATAAACAACGGGTAAGTCAAAATTGAGAGCACAAATGGAGCACAGGGTTAGCTAACAGGCCTGAATCTTTGGATGCATGTGACTCATATTCAAAGTTTAGCCTCGGGAGTCAGGGACCAGCCAGACCCTGTAGTTGGTGTTATCACTTCAGATAGTAGCACTCAACCTGAAAGTCACCTGAGCCAGAGAACAACTGAGGAAACCTGGCATTTCACAGATGCCATGAAGGTAGCCTCAAGCGCTTAAGCAATTTGCCCATGGATGCCCACTGGCGGCATGACTGGAGGGCAAGTGTTGAGGTCCTGGAGCCTGGCTTACAAAGCGGGTATCTCTTGCTTCCTTTCTAGTGCATGGACTGACCTGTGTTTCAGGCAATGCCAGCCTGGCCTTGGCAGGACAGAGTGAGCCAGGCAGATGTAAGCCTTGAGCACCTTGCAAAGCCTGTAGTTCTTCCTCCACCCTGTGCAGTAAAGACAGCTGCAGACTGCAGGCCTCAGCAAAGGCCGGTGTTCAGACAGGAGCCAGTCCGTTTCCCTGGGCCCTGCAGCGTCTCCAGCATCGCCTCCCCAACCCGCCCCCTCCCTTCTGTGGTCTCGCCATATATTGTGACGCCCAGAATTCTATGTCCCTTTTCAGACCCCAGTCTCTCAGTTTCCCTGCCTGGAGCATGTGTCTCCTTTTCCTCACATTCCACACTCCCTAGTTTTCTCCTGACCACCCCCTTTTCTTTTTCTTTTGTATTTTGTTTTTTGTTTTTTGAGACAAGAGTTTTTTCTGTATAACAGCTCTGTCTATCCTGGATCTCACTTTGCAAAACAGACTGGCCTCCAACTCACAGAGATCCACCTGCCTCTTTTTGAAGATGTATTTTTATTTTATTAATGTGTGTATGTGTGTGTGTGTGTGTGTGTGTGTGTTTGTCTCTGTGTGTGTGCGCATGCCACGTGTACACCAGTGCCCTCGGGTCCAGAAGAGCATGTTGGATTCCCTGGAGTTGGAGTTACAGGCAGTTGTGAGTTTCCTGACAGGGATGCTAGAAACTGAACCTGGGTCCTCTACAGGAGCAACAAGCACTTATAACCACTGAGCCGCCTCTCCAGCCCCAAGGCTACCTTCTTGTCATACTTAAGGTCTTCCCTGACCCTGCTGTGTATTCCTCTCTGGCCCCCTATGTCCTCTGATACCTATCCATCATAGCACTTCTTACGCTGTGTTATGAAAGCTTTGCTCCAAGGGGGAACACACAGACTGTATCTCATCCATCATTGTCTCCCATGGAACCAGTGCAGGGCCTAGAATGCAGCTTGCACTCAGTAAGCATTTGCTGAAGCAATGCGTTTGATGATTTGCAGTGCCTTGATGCTCACCCTCATCTTCCCAGCCTGCAGACACCTGCATTTCTGCAGCTTTGATTCATCATGCCTTTGGCGACTGTGAGGATATGCTATTTGTCATCCCTAGAAAGTGGGAAAATACGCAGACACGTGCAGGCTGTATGCTCCTGCTCCCTCGCCACCCATGCTCATCTGCCACTCTCCAAAGATATCGTCACAAACCCTACAGAGCTTCATAACTCTGGTAGAGCCCTCCTTCCTAGGTCCAGGATTTCCTTGACCACTCCCAACAGGACTGTCTCTACTATTATTGGGGTCTTGGAAAACTAACAAGATACAGCATCCCTGCACTACCCAAAACGACATGTGTAGAGTGGATATGCCCTTTACCGTGCCTCCATCAAATGCTGCCTGTTGGTTGTCTGAGGCACTTTGTCCTCCAAGTCATGTTTAGGGTTGTGTGCTAAAGATGTGAGTTTTAGAAAAGACTCTAAGATACCTACCTCTCGGGTTTCCTCTCACTAGCCCTGCCCCCACTCTTAATGTACTTGACTCTTCCCTCCCAGCCTAGCAGAGCTGTGAGCAGCATCAATGTTTGGAGATTTACCCTCAATGTTTGTCACTTGCTCCACTCAGTTGACAAGCTGTCCTTAGCTCTGGACCTTAGTGTGACGCCACAAAGTGCCTGGACAGCAAGAAACTGTCCTCGCTGCTGTATGTGCCCATTCTCTAGGAAGTGGTGGGAATTTTCTGGCAGAATTTGTTCAAGCTAAGTGTTCTCTCCTTAAAAAGGGAGGGGTTCTTACACACTCAGATCACTTCATCTCCCCCAAACCTAGTGATATATAAAGTAAAGGGGCAAAATGCATCCTGTTGATCATTTTTTTAGTTAAGTCAGAATGTTCTTGAGGGGAAAAGGCATGTATGTGGAGTTAAGATTAAGGAAGGATGAACAAGAGAAGATTGGGAAACATGGCCTTTTATGGAAAGTAAGCTCCGCTGCAGGTTCATGTAGACTGAGTGAGCCTGGTGCTAAGCCAAGAGCTCCACTCATGTTCTGTCATGTAATCCTTAAAGCAAGTGGTGTGAGACTCCAGACAGCTTGTCCAGCCAAGGTAAGTGGTGAGGCCAGTCCGGAGCCCAGGAGTGGCAGGTTCTATAGACTGTGGTTTCCGAGGAGTCATGCTGAAGTCACATACGGTAGCCCAAGAGTGGAGTGATCCTGTGCCTCAGAAAAGAAACATAGGGCCTCAAATGACCTGTGATGATTTTATTCTAAACCCAATAGTTCATGATAGAGGTAGAGCAAGTGAATACCTCACTCCCCATCCTTCTCTTCCGGGGGAGCTGCTTCATACCACACCCTGCTGTTTCAACTCAGCCTGAGCCTCCGCCCTTCTTCGATTTTTTTCTGTCTTTCAAGCCTCAGGGTATGAAGATGGTCCACTTTGACCTGTTTCCCTCTGACTCTTGCCTCTTTCCCTGATCCTACCTCATGAGATTTACTATTAGTTCTGAGACTCAGTCTACAAGAGACTGTCACCATATTGCTGGGACAATCCCAAGCATTTTCCACTGGATCCCTAAAATCCCTCAGACAAGCTGTGGCAGCTTTCCAACTCTTCTAAGGTTCTCCAGCTTCAGTCATCTCCTAAGCTCTCAGCCACTGTCCAGACGAAAGCTGTCTCTTGCTACTGCCGAGGGAAGGAGCCTCTTTATAACTCTCATCTTCCCTTTGCTGGCCACATGCCGTGGACATTCATTATCATTTCTATCTTATTTTGTTTTTCTTACCTGTCAGTCTAGGGGTGCTCTGTTTACTGTATCCCTGACATTTGCTGTGTTCTCCTGACTCTACAGCCCTAGTTTGCTTTGAACCAGACAGGCCTCCTGCACCTTCCCAGGCAAGTCTGCAAGCCCCAGCTGCTTCCGTGCATTCACCCCTCTTGCCTCTGCTTCCCTGTGAAGCAGAGCTGCGGTGGGCCGTGTAATGTGAGAAGGGCCTCTTAACCACGCTGAGTGGCTGTAATAAGTTGCCAGCCTCGTGGGAGGCCGGATCAGAGGAAGCAAGAGAGCAGAATGTCAGCCCAGATTATCCAAGTGGAGCTGACAGAACTAGCTCTTAGTGGGTCCATTAACTACATGACCCACAGCCCTGCCCAGGAGCTGAGAGCTGGGAACCGAGGGAGGCCAGGATGCTGTCTGCATGGGCTTGGCTACTTTCCTGCAGAAGAAGGTCTCTGCCAAGACTAAGTGGAAGTAGCCAGGAAAGATGGCACCGAGGAACCCATCCCTTTGTCCATTCCACAAGTACAAGTTGCCCGCATGCTAGGCCCTAGTAATTATCTTGTAAGCAAATCAGTTCCTATCCTCAGGGAACTTACAGCTAGCATCTTTAAGCCGCCTCCAAGCATTCAACTCCCCCAAATAATAGCAGTTTTAGCTATCTACCAATCGGCAAGTTACTTGCTTAATATAAAAGCAACAAACAGCCGGGCGTTGGTGGCGCATGCCTTTAATCCCAGCACTCGGGAGGCAGAGGCAGGTGGATCTCTGTGAGTTTGAGGCCAGCCTGGTCTACAGAGCGAGCTCCAGGACAGCCTCCAAAACAATACAGAGAAACCCTGTCTCGAAAAACCAAAAAAAAAAAAGCAACAAACATCAGTAATGAATTTTATATTGAGAAACTGATCTATAACGAGCTCAAGCTGGGGAGAGATGCTCAGCCATTAAGAGCGCTTTCTGATCTTCCAGAGGACCCAAGTTCAGTTCAGCTGGGCGGCTCACAACCACCACTAACTCTAGCTTTCAGGTTTCTGACGCCCTCTTCTGGCCTCCATGGACACATGCACTCATATGTCTGTCACACACACACACACACACACACACACACAAATAAATAAATATCTTTAAAAGAGAGAGAAAGATTGGAATGGTCTCATTGCTGCCTTCCCCCAAGCTCGGGTGACATGAGGAAAAATGAAAAATGTAGTGTTACTATATTCTAGCTGTAAAAATCTGTGAGAGACAAGATATGATTCTAGACATTGGTTACAGATAATTATCCCAAGAAACTAAGATTTTAAATAGCCTAGTGTGCCAGGAGAGCCTGAGTTACAAAAGGACTGACTACCTATGCTACTCAGAAAAAAAAACGGAAGTATATACCAGCCATCTCTAGGTTCTCTTCTCTCTGAAATCTCTTCTTGACAATACATTTTACAGTTGCCACCAACACCCTCCTCCCCACTCCTCTGCCAAAAGAAGTTGGCATTTAGCACAATGCACACCCAACATTGGGCCCAGCGTCTCTCTACTCAAGCCAAGCCCACTATACATACACGCATAGTTATCTGTGCCTGTGAGCCTCAAAGCTTTGCCGCCCTGCTTTGGGAGGTGTCTCCGGGAAGTCTGGGAATGGCACCTGAAGCAGAGATGATTTTCTGCTTGATAGCTGGTCCATCGTGGATGCTTATTACAGAACACCACTTCCCTCTCCAAACCTCTATTCATAATGAGCTTTGGGGCTGCTTTTACTCCAGGAAGGTTGCTCTCTGTCTCGCCATTTCAACTGGATAAAAGAGTTTTCACATGACACCGCTTCTCACGGGGTTGCCTTGTCTTGTGTTCTCTGTTTCAGCATTGGTTGGAGTTTACAAAGTCAGTGGTGAAGCAACTGAGATGTGAGTATTCATGAAGAATCTAAGCTTTACCATTGGGAGGAGGGGAGAAAACCCCCAAGGGTAGTGAGACTTGTTCTGCATATGTAACTTTCCACAGTTCTAGTATATTGTGGCCCTACCACAAAAGGTTTTTTTAGTTTAGCCTACATGTATGTATGAATGTATGTATGTATATATGTATGTATTGCATCCTATGTGTGCCTGGTATCCTGGAAGCCAGAAGAGGACATCAGGTCCCCTGGCCCTGGAGTTACAGAAGGTTGCAAGCCACCATGTGGGTGCTAGGAATTGAACTGGGGTCCTCGATAGCACTCCCACTGCTGAACCTTCTGTCTAGCCCCGCACAGGGATTATTTTTCTTATAGTTCAAGGGGGAACTCCGGGGAGAACCTTATACGAGGAGAGGAACCCAGCCACCTCCTTGAGAGGGTCTCTCCTAACAGGTACCTTTTCCCGCAGCCCAACCTCCATTCACCATGTGCTTCCGTGTGAAGTTCTACCCTGCAGACCCTGCTGCCCTGAAAGAAGAAATAACCAGGTGAGGCTGGCACGCGGCTCCCAGCCACTGTGGCCTGTGGGGGAGGGTGGGGCCTTGGATTTGAAGTGCCCGCTCTCTTTGGAGGAATGCTTCCTAGATAGAGCCTGTGCTGTGTATTCCTGCCTCCTGCTTTCTCTGCTCCCTGCCTCTGGAGGTGGAGCAGCAGGAACTCCCCTCTTCTGAGTCGCTAATTGCTTACTCTGCAAGGGATCTAGAGTAACTAATTGCTCAATGGCATTTTTTTCTCTTGCCTATAATGTGGCTCTGTTGATGGTTTTGGAGATGGCTATGTTGCTGCTTGATTTCAAGCTTGGAAATAGACCCCAGTGGCCCAAAGGATATACTTGGTAAATACCAAGGTGTGACACGGGAAGGCAGGGTGGAAAACATTGAGATTCTAGATCCAAACCAGTAGATCCTAGCATGCTGTTTGACCAGGTGCATGAAGCTCTTTTCATTGTGGGAATGGTGTTCTAGGGCAGGCATGCTATGAGCCCTGTCTCTTCCACTGGACAAAGAGAACAAGCCTCTAGCCCACAGCCACTCTGCAAGGGGGTTGGTGAATAAGATCTGCCCAGATCCCCAGGGCTTTGTGCATCTCAACCAGACTCATCCTAAGCCTTGCCTCTGAGATTCAGAACTTCTGTGTTGCTGGGGTTCCTTTTTTTGTCACCAGCAAAACCCTGATGTTGACCTGTGGCAGATGGGACCATTGAGGAAGAAATGGCACTGACAACTCTAATTCCCTCCCCCCTGCCTTGGAGAAAGCAAAGTCAGAAAAGAGGTGACTGCCATCATAGAGACAACTTGTCCCACCCATATAGTCTTAAGATCTGGTTTGGATCATGAACTACTTTTAAAAATCCTAAGAAACAGAAGAAGAAGGAATGCAAAATTCTTTTCATTACTGTGGAAGAGCATGCTGCTGGCTTTATAGCACATGAAAGGGATGGAGAGTTCTCTCAGAAGAGAAATCAGGAAAGGGAGAGAGGATGAGAAACAGGAAGTAGTGTAGAGGAAACAAGGAAGGCATCAGGGAGGGCAAGGAGCTTCACATGGACACCAGTGCGGGTCAAGGAGAATCTTCTGGACTCAAGACCAGAAAGGTTGCCTCCTGCACATGCACAGAGCTGTGTGCAGCCACCAACGATAAAGCTCAGAGGACAGCAGTGTGAATGTTAGAACTGTGGGTTCTGCTCATCCTCATGGGATTGAGAGAGACTGCCACTATCTTAATGAGCAGCCCTGTAGCTTCAGACAGGTCCATGGGGACAGGACCACTGTGTTTACCAACTTGAGCAGACAAGTGTTTTGTGAAAGCACTACTGCCTCTCGAGACCTGAGCCGCCTTCTCCTGCTGAGAGTGCTAGAGCACACCCTGTCCACTCTTGTCCAGGTCAGGCCAAACGTAACACCTTGATTTTGGTTTGTTTTTTGTTTGTTTGTTTGTTTGTTTGTTTGTTTGGTTGGTTGGTTGGTTGGTTGGTTGGTTGGTTTGGTTTTTCAAGACAGGGTTTCTCTGTGTAACCTGGATTCGTAGACCAGGCTAGCCTCAAACTCACAGAGATCCGCCTGCCTCTGCCTTCGGAGTGCTGGATTAAAAGCGTGCGCCACCACCGCCCGGCCTAACTTAACACTTTGGTTAAAAGCCTGCTCCTGGCCTCCTTCCACCTCCAGCATTGCCTGTTCTCCCTGTCATTCACCCCACAGCAGGACTAAAAGGAATTATTCTAGCAATTTTGTGACTGCCCTTAGACACCGGGCTTTCTAATGGTTTTTCTTGACTAGTAGGAGTTCATAAAATCCAATTTTTAAAAATCAAATGTAACTATATTGTCTTAACATACTGGCCCTCATATCAAGAAGCCACATAGACCCGGTAGCTCAAATCCACTTACTTAGTTCAAGTCACATTACTTCCTGACTGCAGGACTAGGTCATACATTATTCAACCACATTGACCTTTGGACAACTCACAGAATGAGAATAGTATTATCTAATTCTGCAAATTACTGGGATAATTGACCAGTTTACTAGCTTCTTTTTGTTTGTTTTAATTAGTTAGGGAGAGAGAGAGTGTGTGTGTGCGTGCATGTGCACACATGAGTGTGTGTGTGTGTGTGTGTGTGTGTGTATATATATATATATATATATATATATATATATATATATATATATATATGGGTGGGTACATGGCCTGCTCACATGCTGAGGCCAGAAGAGATCACCAGATCTTTCAGTGCTAAAGTTACAAGCATGCTGGCTTGTAATATGGGTGCTGGGATGTAAATGCCAGCTTTCATGATTGTGTAACTTGTACTTTTAACCATCCAGTCATCTCTTCCACCCTCTTCCTCCTCCATTTTGTCATCATCATAGTCACCTCCTTATTCTTTGTTTCTAAAAAAGAATGGACTGAAGAGGTGCTCAGTGGTTAAGAGAACTGACTGCTCTTCCAGTGCACCTGGGTTCAATTCCCAGCACCCACATGGCAGCTCACAGCCGTCTGTAACTCCAGAATCCAACACCCTCACACGAGCATACAAAACACCAATAAAATATAATTTAAAAAATTTCAGGCCAGGTGTAGTAACCCATGCCGATAATCCCAGCAGTTAGGAGATGGAGACAAAAGGATGGGAGTCATCCTGTCTACGTAGAAAACTTGAGGCCAGGGCTAAAGAGACAGTGCAAAGGTGAAGAGCACACATTGCTCTTGCAGGCACCTGCATTTGGTTTCCAGCATCCACATCAGGTGGTTCACAACCATCTGTAACTCTAGCTCCAGGAGATCTGATGATATATGGGCAAAACACTTGTACACATAAAAACTTTTTAAATAATAAAATAAATAGCTGGGTAGTGGTGCACGCCTTTAATCCCAATACGTGGAAGGCAGAGGCAGGCAGATCTCTGTGACTTCAAGGTCAGCCTGGTCTAGACAGCGAATTCCAGAACAGCCACAGCTGTTACACAGAGAAACCCTATCTCAAAAAAAAATTTTTGAGGCCAATCACATGTATGTAAGACTGTGTTTTGAATGGGGGCACAGGGGAGTTGGAAGGATGTAGTCATGGGTGGATATGATCAATATATACATTTATGAAACATTTAAACTTTAATTAAGACTCCTGGCTCACAAAACCAAATAATTAAACTTATAAAATAAGCATTTATTATCACAGATTCTGTGGATCATAAATCCAGACAAGGCTCGCTTTGGGCTTAGGTTTTTTTGTTGTTGTTGTTGTTGTTGTTTTTGTTTTTGGTTTTTTGTTTTTGTTTTTGTTTTTTTGAGAGTGTCACTATGTAGCCTAAGCTGGCCTTGAACCCAGGATTCTCCACCTCTACCTCCTTAGTGCTGAGATTACAGCCTGTGTCGCCATGCCCAGCGGAGGGTCTTAAACTTCCTCCTACACTTCTAGCCCTCAGGGAGCCTTGCCCTGAGTCAGCATGGCACTGGGATCGTGGCCAGGCCTCTTACCAAGTTGGCAAACTTCAAGGACAGTGACGAGTGTGCCAGCGCCTCTGTCATCTGCATGTGTCCTCCTGAGCCACCTCAGACAATTCCCCTCCATCCTCACCTCACCAGCCTTCTTTCCCCAAAGTGCAATTTGCTCACGTTGTCGGAACTATGATCTGTGGGGTGCCCGGCCTGATTGACCAGGTTTTTGTCCCTCCCTGGAACACTCTGTGAAGCCTTGGAATTAGCTCTGTGTTTCCCACTCACATCCCTATTGCTCTTGAGAGAGCGGGTACCTGCCCCAGCCTCACCCGGTACCCATAATTCATCGCTGGCTCTGAGCCCTTCATCTCAGTATCCCACGTTGCTGCCAAACTAATTTAGCTGTCAGTGTCATTTGTCACCCCCCTGGCAATCTTGATCCTCAATTTCACTGCCATCTCAGCCTTTCCTACTGAGCTATGCTGAGGAGATGAGCTTAAGAGTAAAGACCTCTGCTTCAGGGGCTGGAGACATGGCTCAGTGGTTAAGAGCACTGACTGCTCTTTCATAGGACCTGGGTTCAATTCCCAGCACCCGATGGTGGTTCATAGCCATCTGTAACTCCAATTCTAGAGGATCTAACACCCTCCTCTGTGAGCACTGCACATTCATGGCTCACGTTGATCCAGGCAGGCAAAACACTCATACACATAAAGATAAATATTAACTAGAGAAACCGAGCATCAGTTAAAAGAAAAAGAAAAAAGGAACTCTGCTTCATGTTACCCATCGGGTCCTTCCCACAGGACAAATTTAGTTGCCAAATCCTGATTAATTTCCTTTGTCTTTTTTGTCTTTAAATAATAAATAGATTTTCTTGTCTAGACTGGTGATGGGACCAAGAAAATGGAGAGTTGGGTACCAGACTTAGCTTTTACCAGGCACTGCAGGCGCACGAACTCTTTGAGAGATCAAGTTCGGAAGGAAACCGACACAGCTGCACCTTACCAGGCTGCAGAGGGCCTGGCACCCGGTAGGAGTTGGAGGAGGGCAACAGAGTGAATGAATGCGTGCGTCAGCACGTGGCGTCCCCGGTCATTTATTCTTTCAGTAGATGTTATCTGAGCCCCGGCAGGCTACCGTGGATTGCCAAACCACTCTGGAGGGGACAGAAAGTAAGTGTTTGGGCTTTTGGAACCATATGGTCTCTGTCAGAACCGCTCGGTTCTGTCGGTGCCATTCGGAAGCAGCCATAGATGATGCATGAATGGTGAGCAAGGCCACGTTCCAGCAAATCTTGATTCCATTAGAAAGTGCGGCAGTGGGGCCTGCGTGCCAGCCCCTGGCTAAGACATTGGGGAGACCTGGATTCAAATCTCAGGTTATTTTTAGCTATGAGACAGGGCTAGCAGCAGTACCTCTCCACACTTCATATGTGAAAATGGGACAGAAATGGCAGCTACTCGTGGAGCTACTGGAGGCTTGAACGAGGAAGTGTGTGTGCGGCAGGGGAGTGCACTCGTGATAGGGGGGAGCTGCCGGCATAGTGTTTTGTTTCATGCTGTCATCTGTCTCCCCTTCCTTTATATGTAACTGTGAGGAGAGTGACTGCATTCCCGAGTACCTGTGAAGTGTGTGGCCTTGGGAAGGACAGAAAGAGATAAGCAAAACTTTAAAAATAAAGCAAACAAAAACCAAGGGCCAGGGAGATGGATGAGTGGGTAACCATGCTTGCTGAGCCACCCTGACAACCTGAACTCCTGCCATCTGAAACCCTGTGCTCAGCACGCCTCACCTGAGGGGTGGGGTGGGGGTGGGGGCACCACTGGACCTCAACACACATATACACATGAATAAAAAATAAAATACTTTTTAAAAATTAGTGTGTGTAGCCAGGCTATAGTGGTACCTGTCTTTAATCCCGGTACTCAGGAGGCAGAGGCAGGTGGATCACTATGAGTTCGTGGTCAGTCTGGAACAGAGCAAGTTCCAGGACAGCCAAGGTTACCCAGAAAAACCCTGTCTCCCCCCCAGAAAAATAATAAAATAAAAATTAGTATGTATGTGTACCCACAGAGACCAGAAGTGGGTATTGAATCCTCACAACTGAAGTTTCAGTCAGTAATTAGCAGCCTTGTGGGAAATGAACTAAGATCCTCTGGAAGAGCAGCAAGTGTTCTTAACCACTGAGCCATCTCTCCAGTCCATCCATGTGTGTTTGTGTGTGTGTGTGTGTGTGTGTGTGTGTGTAGGGGTGTGTGTGTGTAGGGGGTGAGAGAGAGAGAGAGAGAGAGAGAGAGAGAGAGAGAGAGAGAGAGAGAGAGAGTTTAAGGTAAATCTCTCTCATCTGATAGCTAAATGAATTACCACAGGGTAGACAAGCCCGAATCAAAGGCCTGAACTGTTAACTGATGGGTAATACTAGACAAGTCATGCCACATCTCTGGACATCTGTCTCCTTGGCTGTGAGTTGAGGGAATTCTGTTCCTTAACTCTGGACCTGAGGAACAATAGCACTTGGCTGTTCTGGGCAGGCCTGGCAGGCTGATCCCTCATCTGATAACACAATTGCCTTGATGACAGAGCTTCACACGACAAGATAGCGCCCAGAGGCCTTGTGCAGTGAGAGTGCACTGGAGTCTTGTTGCGGTAATGGGTCTAACAATACTGTGGTCATGTGGGGTACAGCACCAAGTCAACCAAAACATTCTAGACACCACTGTGGCAGAATCAGGGGACCTTGTGAAGACGTTGGAGAGTCTTTTAGTGAGATTTCTTCCCGCTCCCTAGTGACTTGTTTTCCTTAAGGTATAATTTGTCATCCTTCCCTCACCCCCCCCCATTTGCCACAGCACTGCTTAAGAGTTTCTATAACCTTCCCCTTGAGCTCCCTACAGCTGTCCTATAATCAGAAGTCCAAAAGACGGCCAGCCTCACCTCACCCAGGACATCTGCCATGGGCCCATTCGGAGCAATGCCTTGCAAAGCAGCAGTCTTCTCAGTGAGGAAGGCTGGCAGCTTGCGTACAGCGAGGATCAGAAACTCTAGAGAATCCACAGGAGCACCTCTGACATGCTTCCCTAGGGGGATGTTCTCAGTCTGTGGCAGAGAATCGCCATCCAGATCTGTGGCTACTGTTTGAAACATCTCCTTTTGTCCAGGGTCCCTGTCCCAGATTTTCAGTCATAGATGAGAGAGCATCAAGGAAGGAAGGAAGTGAGCAATGAGTTTGGGGCAAAGGTTGTATCTTCATCCTGCCAAAACCTGTGGAAGGTGGGAGTTGGAACAGTGAGAGGAGGGAAGTGCTCGCTCGTCTCTCCCACACACCGTGTGGCATTTCGCTGTGGGAAGCAGAGTGCAGACAAGCTGGATTTCATAGACCCATCTTAATTATTCACTCTGCACCATGCCAGCTTTTCTTGGTGAATGTTAGGGCCAAGTGGGTTTGGCGGAGGAGAGGAAGGGCTCTTACAAACTCCCAGGCGGAAGTCCTCACCTTCCTTTTGGTTTGAGGGTGGTACCATGTATTGATGTGGTCATGGAGATACTTTGGCATTTCTCAGGACTCTCCCTCTTATATGCAAGTCATATGAGGAGCTTGGTAAAAATGGCAAGGCTCCAAATAATGCCAATATTGCTGGCGTGGGGGCTATACTTGGAGTAGCAAGACCCCAGGAGAAGTTAGAAAGCTCCTTAACTGATTCTCCATTCTCTAAGCCCAGAACTCACTCCCCTACTTCCTCCAAAAGTTGCCCTATCGATGACTCTCTTCCTTTCCAGGCATTTTTACATAACTAACCGGACCTGTAATTCAGACTGAATGCAAAACAGAGGGAACAATTTATCCGAGGAGGTCCTAAATTCTGGTGGAAATTAGTGGAACTGAAGGGATTTGTGCTATAGTTTCATTACTCCCTGCTCCCCCGAGGATGCTGTAGTCATGTATGGCTGTCTAACAAAGAACCGTCAACCCTTAGCTTAAAGCGGCAGGCCATCTCAGAACTTCTGTGGGTGAGTCCAGGGGTGACTTAGCTGTCTCAGGATCAGTCATGGACCAGCTGGAACTTTATTCATCTGAGGGTATTCATGTGACCGTTGGCAGAAAGTGTCCCTCCTCCCCATGGGCCTTTCTGTAGGACAGTGTAAGCATCCTCAGGTAGAGTAAATGGTCCAAGAGATAGAGCACAGCAGCTGTGGTGACTGATGAGACTGTTTTGTTCTGTTACTGACAGCAAATCACTAAGGCCAGCCCCTACAAGGGGTGAGAATTCAGCAGTATCTCACGAAATGAAGTGTGAAGGATCAGTGGATGTGTTTTTAAACCACCACAGGTGCCTCCTGGCCACGAAGCCAGTGGGGGAAAGGGCCCACTCGTGAACAGATGCTCCTCGTAGCCTTAGGTCTGCTGCTGTTGGTTGACTTGTGAGAATATGCTCATCTCTCAGCACTCTGGTAAAAACACTTCCAAATGGAAAGCTATCATCTCCATCCCAAGAAACTACCGAGCAGTTGCAGTCTCAGAGTGCATTATAATGAACGTGGTATTAAAGAGCCGGGCCAGGAGTCCCAAAGCTGTGAATTTGGATCTGGCTCTTACCATTTAGTTGTATGTCTGTGGAGAAAACCACTAAAGCCTCAGCTTTATTTGGAAAAAGTGAAGGTAATGACAGTGCCTATTTCAAAGTGTAGTGTAAGAATGGAATGAGACATTAGCTGTGAATCATACAGTGTCTGCCCCAGCAGACGGGCACTCGGTGCAGGTCCCAGCTCCTGTCTTGATACCTTGTCTTCACCTCACATGCATATTCTGTTTTAAAAGACGTTGGCCACAAGCGCCTACTTTTCTGCTCCTACATGAGGGCCACTTCTCACATTTGTTTAATACTTGGGAGCATGCATGCACACACACACACACACACACACACACACACACACACACACATGCACATGTGAGTGCAGGTACCTGCAGTATCCAGAAGAGGGCGTCAAGATGTCAGATGCTCCGGAACTGGAGTTACCAATGGTTGTGTGAGCCATCCAACATGGGTGCTGGGAACCAAACTCCGGTCCTCCTCATGAACAGTATGTAGTCTTAACCACAAGCCGTCTCTCCAGCCCCTCACTTATCCCTTTTTATTTGGATTTGAAGAGATCTTATTGACCTCTGCCAATAATCTACAGAGGGACAGATTCTAATCCAAGCCCAGGCTGAACCCTTTCCTTGACATTCCTTCACCCACCATTCCACTCTAAGGCCAAGGCACAGTTTTTCTTGATTGTATCAGACTGGCAGGGGCCGGTTCCGTCCAGATCCCAGCACTTTGTTGGTAGTGGAGAGAGGGAATAAGAGTGAGGAGAGTCAGGGGAAAGGGGTGGTGCTTTTGCCAGGGAGTGATGTGTCTATGTTGAGCTTTAGAGGAAACAGGTTGTTTTGATCTGAACCTTAAACAACTAATAGTTCAGAGTGAAGTATCTAAAAAGCCTGCAAGGAAAATGGAAAATGTATTTGTTCTGTGGTCTGAAAAAAAGTTTAATGTAGGAAAAATGCCCTGACAAAGATTTTGATAGGCTTATATTACATATTTATGACTTTACAGCAATCAAAGCAACCCTTTCTAGTTCGCTCTCTGTTTTCTCTGCAGGTACTTAGTCTTCCTGCAGATCAAAAGGGATCTCTACCACGGCCGACTCCTCTGTAAAACGTCAGACGCCGCCTTGTTAGCAGCTTATATCCTTCAAGGTAATGACTTTGGACAGGATAAATTTGCTTTTCATGCTAAGGCCTGATTACATTATTCCATTTACCACAGATGACAACTTCTTAGATCAAAACAGCTTCTAACTCGAAGCAAGTTAAAGGATTTTTCCTGGGTTGTCTGGAGCCAAAAAGCCTAGAGCCCTCCTGCACCCGAGGTCTCACTGCTTAACCCCCTTGAGTCATCATTTTAACCTTCGGAGACTTGTCCTGTCCTTGCATGCTGTGAGGCTGAAGAGTAATCAGTCACTTGTTCCGGCCCTCTCATGCAGATTGCCAAGGTATAAGGCATGATGGGATTCTGATGTCTATTTTGTAGACATCTCAGCTGAGAGTGCTCAGTGTAGCACATATTCTCAAGTGAGAAGTCCTTTCCCGAGGAAGAGGTGAGCTTCTTGCTGCTGATTCCCAGACTGGCTGTGGGTATCTGTCTTGAGATGTGGAGACATGCCATGCCCTTCTCTCATGCAATGCTGAGGCCATTCAAGTGCCACTCCTTGGAATTTTCGTAGTCCTCCAGCCTGAAACTTTCATTAACAGCAGGATCATTCAGACCTAAAACCATAAAGTTTCATTAAAAACACGAACCCTTGATTGTGACTCAGGGAACTCTCAGACGCAACTTAAGGAGGAGCTGTAATGAGCTTGCTGGCCGGGGAAGTGCAGACTCGTGGTACCAGGAGGAAAGTGAGCCCACTCGGGGCTCTGGCTCTGAGAGCTGGAGGGAAGGGGAGCAGGTGCTTGTGTGCCCAGAGGTATCAAGGAAGCCCCTCTTCCTTTTTTAAAGAGGAAGCTGGCCTGCTCTGATTGCAGTGTCAAACTCTAGTCTTTTCCTCACATCCACCCTGGTAATTATATCAAGTTTTCTTTTTTCCAAAAAGTATTTAGTCACCAGCACCAATATCTTCCCCTTGAAGCTTTTCAAATAAAATCAAAGTAAATGATCTCAAGGTTCAAGGTCACTCATACCTCAAGGAACAAGATCTCTTGTTAAATGACAAAAAATTTCCATGGAATTTGGAGTTTGGTTAGGTTTTTATTTGTTTGTTTTAGACATATGGTTCCACTATGTTGTCCAGGCTGGTCTTGAACTCTTGGGCTCAAGTGAGCCTTCTGTCTCAGACTCCCCAATCCTTGAGGCTACAAGACATTTACCACCACCACATTCAGCCCTGAGTAACTTGGAAGGAGCCATAATTGGCAGTGGGACACCCAAGCCCAGAGCACTGTGTTCAGCTGTGACAGGGACCTTGTTTTCCTCCCAGCATTGACTCTGCCTCAGCTGAAGAGCATGTGGCTCTCCCAGAGAAGGAACAGAGACAGCCAGCAAGCTGCCAGAAGTTTCTCTTACCTTTGTTGGGCTACCCTTTAGTGGGGGAGCTGCGTATGGAGAAAGCTGGCTTCTGACTGGGAGAGCACCGGGAAAGATGGTGTTCCTAAGAGCTCCCCGAGACTCCTCAGCCTTAGAGGTGACATTTGTAAGCATGGCCCTGGGCACAGCATTGGAAAACCAGCCTTAGAATCTGGTGTTCCTGCACTGAGCTGTAGCCATGTTCCCAGCGGCAGGCCTACCTGGTGTGAGCCCACCATGAACACTGAATGTACTCATCTGGTTCCATGTGTGAGGGATGAGTCCTGAACTGGGATCAAGGCTCGGTCAGCAACTTCTCTTGTCCCTACTAAAATCTTTGGGGTGGGATTTAGGTCTCTAACCTGGGGCACAGGAGATCCTGTCTTCCTGACCAAGCTCACTGTTTGCTGCTACCATACAGAGCATGGCTCCCAAGCCTTCCCATGTGGCTGAATGACTGAGGTCCATATTGCAAATTTACTTGTGAACTCAGAGTGCAGGGCCAGCCCTACTGACTTTGCCGTCACTTGAATATCAGCCGACAGCAGGGAAAGATGGCACACAGCCGCTCCCTGTGGACCCGTCCTCTTGCCAGCCAAGGGCCAAGCTCAGTGTCTGCTTCCTTCCGTGGCCACCAAGCCATGTGTTAATCTTGTTCTTTTGTTTTTTGTTTTTTCTCTTTCCTACCGTTGAAAAGCGGAGATAGGGGATTACGACCCAGGAAAGCACCCTGAAGGCTACAGCTCCAAGTTCCAGTTTTTCCCAAAACATTCAGAGAAACTGGAAAAGAAAATTGCCGAGATTCACAAGACTGAACTCAGGTATGTGACACTCGCTTGGGGCCCAGGCCACTGAGCACACGGCTCCTGGCTGCATCCTCGGCTCTCAAGACTACTTGCTCGAACAGAGTGATGCTCCCAGAACCATTTCCAGGGATCCACTGACAGCACAGCCTCCTCTCAGTGCGGCCAAATGCCTCACCTAGAGCAGTCTACAGCCACGGCTTTCTGAATGAGCCCTATCTTGTGTGATCTGGGAAGCCGAGCAGCTAAGCGGCACGGGAGATGAATGACACAGGGCCCAGCTGACTTACAGCCAGGGCTTTGGCTTAGAGACTGTAGCCTCAGCACGCTGTGGGACACCTGCACCCGGGATGCAGCGGCCGATGCCCATGGAGCCCTGCATTCCTCAGCTTGGTTTAGCCTACCCAGCTCATGCAGAACCATATACAGCACTGGTGCAGCCTTTCACCCACGTTAAGCGGGCTTTTCTGCAGTAGGTGACTTTAAAGAGCAATGGTAGAGTGGGTTCCAATTCATGTGTCATGCTAGAACACAGGTTTCCCAGACGGATAGGCTACTTGAAGCAAAGGTATGTGTGCTAGAATGCTGTAAACTAACCAGAAACTGGATTACCATTTTAATATGTTGAATTTCATTCAACTTTTAGGAATTTGGATTTATTAAGACAATTAGGCGATAATCAAAAAAATGTTTTAACCAACATATAAAAGATAGATTAAATTTAAACCACTTTAAAATAAGGAATTTTGTTTATTTTTTATTTCTGTTTATTTTGAGTATATTAGTTAGATAAAACCACGGGTTTCCTTGTAGGTTTTGCTCATTTTTTAAGACCCTTTAAGAAGAAGCAAAGAGAGGAAAGCCACAAATTGTAGTCACAACATGAATCATCCATGGAAGAGTATTATGGGAGGGACTAAACCAGAGAATTCTGTGTGTCTGTAAGAGAACTGGAAATTGGGCAGTGGATAAGAATGGGATTATAGCCAGGCAATAGTGGTGCACACCTTTAATCTCAGCACTCAAGAGGCAGAAGCAGGCGGATCTCTGTGAGTTCGAGGCCAGCCTGATCTACAGAGTGAGTTCCAGGACAGCCTCCAAAACAATATAGAGAAACCCTGTCTCAAAAAATCCAAAATAAATAAATAAATAAAAGAATAGGATTATATTCACTACGAATATTTAATTTCCTGCTCTGCGGAAGGATCGTGCTGGAGTGGGAGCTGGTGCTGTTAGTAACCCTGAACTTAAACCAGAGCCTACCGCACCATGACCTTGCCCCCAAAGCCTTCATCTTCACTCAAAGCTTCCATGAATGAACGCAACCCAAAGCCACCTCAGCATTTGCGAACAGACTGCCGGTGTCTGGTGTGACCAGGCAGGCTCCTATCGGGGCAATCTTAGATTTTTCCAATCTTCTCAGTGCAGAGCCCAGTGGTTGGCCCTGTCACTGTTAGGGAAATGGTGACCCCTTGTGGTTAAAAATCGGGATGACAGATGCTTGTGAGCTCCCATTCAGAGATGAAGGATTTATGCTACCCCAGAGGGTAAGATGTCAGAGGAGTGGGGACATTTCTGCACAAAGGTAGTCCAAGGCAAGGGATTCCTCAAGAAATGAAGCTTCTGTGAGGATCCTGGAGATCTGAGCAAACTCCTGAGGTTAATGGATTTCAAGGGGCGGATTCCTTTAGACGTGGAATGAAGATGCCCCTGGAAGGCATTGTCCAAGTTTCTCCTTGAGTCTCAGGTCTGTTGGTAGATGTAGGGGTCCGCCTTCACTCTCTACCTACAGACACAGGTTCTGCCTTGCTCCTGTAATTAAAAACGTCTGTGTTTTCTTCATCTCTGCAAATTTGACAGTTCCTTTGGCCTCGAACTCTGGACTTGTTTCTTTTTTCTTTTTTTTTTTTTTTTTTTTTTTTTTTTTTTTTTTTTTTTTTTTTACAAGACAGGGCTTCTCTGTATTGTCTGGACTTGTTTCTTGATCTGCTTCCCAGAAGTAACACAGAGGCTGGCACGTCACAGCACAAGGGATAGTGGTGGCCTCTTCAGGGGGTACCGCAGGGAGCCTGGCCTGCTTCTCTCTTGGGTGGGCTTACTTCCTGCTCTGTCATGCAACTTTAGGCAAACGATTAATGTAGTAACGGACAACTTTTGCTCCTTCCCGCCAGCCATCAGCGCTGCTGACTTCACAAGCTGTCCTCCTCTCTCACACTTGGTCTGCTTTTCCAGGGCTCTGCGTGCAGAGGAGCTCAGAGCTAGTGCCACCGCCACTGACTCCGACGCGGTTTCATCTATGCGTTCCAGGAGGCAGGCAGGCAGGAGAGTCGAGCCAGGGCCTCTTCAGATAGCTGGAAGCAGGCTTGTTTGCATTCATAGTGTCACCCTGTGCACACAGAGCTGTAGAGTGGAGAAGCACGGCCGCATCTCCTACCACAGTCAACCTTGGGGTCGCACAACCCTTTCACATAGGTCGCATAATAGATATTTACATTACCATCGGTAACAGTAGCAAAGTTACAGTTATGATGTATCAGTGAAAATAATTCCCTGTGTGGGAGTCACATGAGTTGCAGGCTTAGGAAGGTTGAGAATCGCTATTCTACTGCTTCTCCTAGCCCTGTGCTCTCTTCTGGCCAAGAGAAAGGGTTGAGTGGTACCGGCAGGAATACTGAACCATTTGTATGTCAGTCCATGTCAACTCACCGACAAAACTGTGGCCAGTAGCCAGCCTGCAGATGTATTTCCCTTTCTCCACAGTACTACATGTGTGAAATATCACAAAAATCAGTATCTCTGACTTGTTTAGAATCACAGCCTCAGCTGGGCATAGTGATGCATACCTTTAATCCCAGCACTCGGGAGGCAGAGGCAGAGGCAGAGGCAGGCAGATCTCTGTGTATTTGAGGCCAGCCTGGGACATCATGAGACCCTGTCTCCAAAAAAAAAATTTCCCAATAATATCTGGCCAGTGAGAGGGTTCAGTACCTGTGTCTTCCATGCCCAAAGCCCACGTGGTGACAGGAAAGAACCAGTTCTGGCAAGTTGTCCCCTGAGCTCAGACACAGTGAGATGAAAATCTAAACCTCACGGCAGCCAGCACTGTTTGGCCTGTGTTTTCTTTTGCTTATTTGTTTTGATCCGATTTTGACTTTTGTTTTTTTTGAGGCAGGATCTCATGTAGTCCAGGTTGGCCTTAAACTCCGGACTCCCTTCCTCTACCTCCCAAGTGCTGAGGCTATGGATATCACACTCTACCATACCTGGCTTCATATGTATTTCAGGAAGTCTGTAACATCAGAGCTGTCCCCACTACCCCCTGCTCTTGACTCATTATGTAGCCTGTTTCACATTGAGTTTTGTTTTTAATTCTTTATTTTCATTTGTGCATATGGATGTTCTGGCTGCATGTATGTCTATGCACCATGTGTGTGCAGGGCACTCTTGAGGCCAGAAGAGGGCAATAGAGGCCCTGGGATTAGAGTTGCTGAAGGTTGTAGGCAGCCATGTGGGTACTGGGGATCAAACCCAGATCCTCTGGAAAAGCAATCAGTGTTCTTAAGCACTGAGTCATCCCTCCAGCCCTCACTCTGAGTTTTGACCTTAGACTTGAGACTGTGAAGTTTGTTCTACAACCAAGTAGGAGAATGCTATGGAAAAATGGAAGTTTGGGGCCTACTCTGATCACATCTTTTTCTTTTTTTTAATGCCTCTTCCCCATGAGAGTAGCAAAGCCTCCCCCACCCAGGCTGAGGCTCAAAGAGATGGCAGAGCCTTCCTCAGGGTCCAAGTATTGACAGTGTACCCAAGAAAATGCCGTCCATAGCTTTCCTTCCCCGGACATTAGCAACCTGAAGATGGCTCACCTACAGAGGTTGCTCCTAGCAAACAAGCTAAGCCTGGCTCCTCGATTCAGCTGCCTGTAATAACCCTACGTGACTAATCAACTGTGTATAATAAGCAGGCTGAGCTTCCAGGGTACTGCAACTACTCCACCAGAGAGCCCAGTCTGCCCAGCTGACCCCTTCTTACCAGGGAGCTCACACCTGGGGAACTTGTGGGACGGGAGCCCTGAGACCATCTCCTCTTCATTCCAGTGGTCAAACACCAGCAACATCAGAGCTGAATTTCTTAAGAAAGGCCCAGACATTAGAGACCTATGGCGTGGACCCTCATCCATGTAAGGTAAGGCACCCCCACGGGGGACTTCACTGGCTATGCCCCCCTAGCAAGGCATGGGGTGCTTTTGCCCACAGGCCCTTAAGTGTACAGGAGCCACGACCATGCCATGTGGAAAGCTCCTCTGGATCAGACTCTGCCACATCACTGTCAGAGGACCTCAGGCAAAGGCAATCTAAATAACAAATCCAAACCCGGTGTCCTGCTTTGGCAGCTGGGGGTAATTTGGTGGAAATGAATCGAAGGGACATGTGGAGAGTTCCCCACAGGCAGCAATCAGCAATCACTCAGCAACTGTCCACCCTTTACTGACCCATAATCTAGTTTCTTCCCAAGAGTGGGTTTTATTGACTATAGTGGCATGAGTCACCACATGGGACTGCAATGGAATCACATTTGATTCCATTATGTACCTGGGAGGGTGAAGCAGGAACACACCAGGGACACTGTGCCTGGGAAACCTCTGTAATTACTCACGTGCTCCTAGCATTTCAGAGATGAGTTTGGTGAGCCCTAGCATTTCAGAGATGAGTTTGGTGAGCCCACCCGTGAGAACAGCGAGACCCACGGCATCGCCTGGCTCTGGGCACTTCCTCCCACCACAGCTCATGTCCCTGTTGCTTTGACATGCTGTCACTGCCTGTTTTACCTCATCTATGTAACCATTTCCTTCCTTCTGGAGAGGCTGCCATTCCAGCAGCCCTAAAACTGAGAGCAAGATCAGCATCTTCTTGCTCATAGGTGAAGCGATGCTGTAACAAGAGTTGATGCGTTCTTTCCGGCTACTGTAACAGCGTTCCAAACTGGGTGGCTTAAACCATGCAGATGTGTTGCCTCTGTGCTTTGGTGCTGATGGGGTTGGTGCCTTCTGAGGGCCCGTTTCAGCTCGATGACCACCACCTTCATCTTGGGTCTTCCCATCAACTCCCCTCTGCTGTGTCCGTGTCTAAATCTCCCCCATTGTATAAGGATGCCAGTTAAACTGGAGTTGGGCACTATCTCACAGCCTCAACTTAATTTTAATTTCTATAAAGACCCTATCTCCAAAGAAGATCCCATTCCCAGTACTTGGAACTAAAACTTCAACATCTGAATTTGTAGGGAGGGGATATAATCCAGTGTATAGCAAGCAATGAAAACTAAGGGGCACAGGGGAAAAGCCCTGGTGAGGTGATTTCATTTTGCCTATGAAGTAATAAAATCCTAGAGGACATTCTGGAACACAATCTCCTCCCTCCACCTAATTCCCTGTCCACTGTGTAACTTACTGCCTGACAGGCCTGTTCTCAGCAGACATGGAGCATATCTACACACTTAGGCAAACTTTATAGGTGATATAAGAATTAGTGCCAGGTGGTGGTGGTGCACGCCTTTAATCCCAGCACTCGGGAGGCAGAGGCAGGCAGATCTTTGAGTTCAACACCAGCCTGGTCTACAGAGCCAGTTCCAGGACTCTACACAGAGAAATCTTGTCTCAGGGAGAAAAAACAAAGAATTAGCAAGGCTTCCTAAATGTGTCCTGTGAGTAACAAAAGTGGTTTAGGTTGCTCGTGATGGTGCTTACTGGAAGGATTTGCTGAAGATGCAGAGGCAGGAGGATCAGTAGTTTGAGACCAGCCTGGTTCTCACACACACTTCGCCAAGCTTGTGGCTCCCCTCTAATCCCAGCACTCAGGAGGAAGAAGCAGGTGAGTCTTGGTGAGTGTGAAGCCAGTCTGGTTTCCATAGTGAGTTCCAGGGCAGTCAGGGCTACACAGTGAGACACTGTCTGGAGAAAAAAAAATCATTTAGCAATTCTGTCAATTGCTTAGACACTCTAGCAGGCAGGAGGGGACCTCATAGGAGAGAAGTGTTTGGGGACATCTGGCTTTAAGCTCCAATCCTCATCAACTATTGGGACCTTGCTAGCTTCTGATCCCCGCTCTTCAAATCTATGAGTAAGAAAGCAATAGGTGTGTAGGAACTTATTCCTGAGCTGGTAAGTCATTCTAAGACCTCAAGAAAACATAGGTGCCACAGAAGTGCAGCCTTCCCTATTACATAAAAAAGTCCTGAAGTTCATACACACAGAGAAAGAGAGAGAGAGAGAGAGAGAGAGAGAGAGAGAGAGAGAGAGAGAGAGAGAGAGAGAGAGAGAGAGGTCATTAGGTGCCAGATCACCTCAGTGTTAAACTCCAGTCCCCTTAAGGCCCACATGAGAGGGTTAGGGTTAGTCACAGCATACAGAGATAGGCAGGCAGTGTCCCTGAGCTTGACAGCTGGCATAACGTGGATAGGATTTTTGTTATTGCCCACAGAAGCTGTTGTCTGAAAGCCAAACTGGTGTCCATCCTAAATCCATGTGCACAGCAGGACCTTGGACTCCTGACTCAGCCTTGACTTTGACAAGTCTGTCCATCATGGGCACCCAGAGGTTGAAGAGGCTGCAAGAAGAAACCAGCCTCTGTTCTGTGTGTGTGGCCCTCCTCCTGGAACTGAGGGAGGAGAGACTGAGTGTAGTCCACTTCCCGTTTGGAGCTACTGGGTCCTTTCATGTTATTTTTCACTGACTCTTCAGCCAGCCTTAGGGTGGGTGCTAGTCTCCCTACTTTATAGATAAGAAAGCTGATGCAGCTAGGCGCTGATGGCACACAACTTTAATCCCAGCACTCAGGAGACAGAGGCAGGCACATCTCTGAGTTCAAGGCCAGCCTGGTCTACAGGGTGAGCTCCAGGACAGCCAAGGCTACACAGAGAAATCCTGTCTCGAAAAACCAAAAAAGAAAGTTACTGTAGTATAAAGTCACAGTTCACAAGGACCTGGGAGGCAGAGCAAAAATTTGAACTTGGATCATTTCCATTGCAGCTATATAATAAGAGAGACCCCTGAGAGATTCTGTGGAAAGGGGAAGGGCAGCTACCTCACTGGACTTTTATCCCACATTCCCAGACCTCCTGCTCATCTGGGTCATGTCAGGGCCCTGCTGCAGACTCCACACATGACCCTCAGATCCTCTTATTCGGCCTTGGCCGTGTTTCCTCAGTCCTCCGAGGCAGAGAGCAATTCAGGAGTCTTCACTCTTACCATTAAGTAGCCTCACTTGAGTGATGTGCTACCAAACACTCTCCTTAATGTTGCTACAAGGAGCACTGGAAGAAGCTGGCACACTCAGGGTAATAAATACTGATGATTTCTATTAACAGGGAGGCAATTACTGGGCCCAGGGAATCTGGGGCATGCAGCCCCAGGGAGGACAGAAGAGGAATCATTTTGATAATTAAATGAGAGCAGAGTGCTCCGGCTCAGCTCTCGTCTCCTGGACTGATTAAGAAGTTGGTCCTGTGCATGTTGGTGGTTTCCTTCTGCCAGAGTGTCCTCGTCTGGTCCTAGGACCAGAAGGAGGGACTCCTACAGACCCTGGCTGGGGAGCCAGAGCACCCAAGCCCCAAATTTGCACAGAGTCATCTTCTACTGTGCTACACCCTGCACCACCCAGGTCCTGGCAGGATCCCCAGAAGCCCAAGACTAGAGCTGCTGGGAAAGAGAAGGGCCTGGGATGGTATCTATTCTCTGGCTCCTCTCCAAACTCAGGAGTCACCATCTTGTTCCATTCAAACTATCCCTGGGGCCGGTTGTTTGCCCTGGGTCTTTCAAAACCCAGTTCTGTGGGTTCTGATGGGGCTGCCCTGCTAAGGCATTAGGGGAGGGCGTAGCTCCATCGTGGATGCCCAGCCTTTTTATTCCCAGGCCTGTTGGTGCCACTTCCTGAGAGCCCACATGTGTCAGGTACTCAGATTATCTGCCAAGAGCCTATCTCACCCTCACATTGAAACGGAGACACCAAACCTTTGAGTGCATATTTAGAAGAGAGTAAGAGGGATTGGGAGCTGCCAAGGAGGTTCTTACTAACGTGCCCAAAGCTCCCAGTGAGGACAGCACCGAGACTGGAAGCCAGCCTTGTCTGGTCTCAAGGCTATGCTTTTGCAACCCCTGCCTGCAGGCTTCCTTCTACAGAGATTAATGTTGAGAGCTAAGCACGGCCAGGTGGTGGTGGCACACGCCTTTAATCCCAGCACTCGGGAGGCAGAGGCAGGCGGATCTCTGTGAGTTCGAGGCCAGGCTGGACCGACAGCCTCCAAAACAATACAGAGAAACCCTGTCTCATAAAACCAAAAAAAAAAAAAAAAAAAGCTAAGCACGGCTCACCATCCGTTCCCATACTTAAGTGATTTCTGAAATAATCATATAAAAATTAATGTAAACCCAGGCATGGGTGATGATGCCTATAATCCCAGCTACTCTGGGGGCCAGAAGCAGGAAGATGGCAAGACAGCCTCTAAAAGTAGATAGAGAGAGAGAGAGAGAGAGAGAGAGAGAGAGATAATAGGCTGTGATCCTAGCACTCCTCAGCGGAGGCAAAGGAGCAGAAGGTCAAGGCCACCCTCAGCTACACATGGATTCAGGACAAGCCTGGACCACATGAGGCCCTGTCTGGAGCAGAGGAAATGAACAAAAGTTTGTCTCCTCTCCAAGAGCACTGTTGGCCATGCCACAGCACTAAGACAGCAGGACTGTTGGCCATGCCACAGCACTAAGACAGCAGGACTGTTGGCCATGCCACAGCACTAAGACAGCAGGACTGTTGGCCATGCCACAGCACTAAGACAGCAGGACTGTTGGCCATGCCACAGCACTAAGACAGCAGGACTGCCTCTGAAACGAGCTGGCCGTGTTCTTCTAGGTCTATGTCACTGTCCCGCTTTCACAAGTGGAGCAGCTGCGGTGTGAAATCAGGTCCAGAGCAAACGAGAAACAGATCCAGGGTCCTAAACCAAGATTGAAAATTCTTTTCCAAAAGAGTGAAGGCGTGTAAGCTTTCTTATCCCACGGCGGCAGAAAAGAACTACGTCTTTCTGTCAGGAGATGCAGAGTGGCCTACGAACTGTAAAGATGTCAGGATCCATTTCCTCTCCTCCTAGATGCAGGAAAGGCTTGGTCCTGTGGGCCCTGATTCCCTGCGATGGGAAGGGACAGGCAGAGGTGGAAGACTGTGGGGAAATAACCAGGCACTTCTCTCCTTGTCTTCATTCCTTTCTCCGCCATGCAAAGTGTTACCTGGGCAGGGCGGTGGTGGCGCACGCCTTTAATCCCAGCACTCGGGAGGCAGAGGCAGGCAGATCTCTGTGAGTTCGAGGCCAGCCTAGTCTACAGAGTGAGTGCCAGGATAGGCTCCAAGACTTCCTTTTTGGTCTGACTAGAAAATCTTAAACTGTCAGCAAGAGAAAGTCAAATGTTAGGGTTTTGCCTGAAGTTCAACAGCCTTAGAAACTATGCTTATATTGATACGCAGAACTTCTGAGGTAAAAGCTCTAGCTAAGATGTGGAGAAATCAAAGGACTTGGCTACAGCCATGCAGTGCAACTAGACCTGGACCTAACAGGCCTGTGCCGCAGGTACCTTTCTGTCAATTGCTGACACACTGGCAAGGGTGGAGGTAGCAGAGGCCTCAGCCACCCTCATTCCCTCACTGCTCCTCTGTTACATGCCCTCAACCCAATCTAGGACTGACCCTCCTGTCCCTCTAGCTGCCCTTCCTTCTAGGCCCTTCTCTGTGTCTCAGAAGGCTTTATGAGACACCCTTCCTACCTCTGCCTATCCATGCCTTCTCTCATCCCTGTAAACATGTATTTCCTCCATCATAGCCTTATGTCCCCTCTGACCCACGTCACTGTCTTACACTGTATCTGCTAAACCTATCCTATACCACTGCAAACACAATTAGGTTTCTACCCTTGCATCTCTTGTCCTTGGGCCCACCCTGCACAGGGGCAGAAAGCTTCCCAATGCCCACACTCTACTGAGATTGGCCACCTCCTTCAGGCATTCTCCCCACAAATGCCATTTGCCTTGACCCATGTTTATGCCGAGTTAGCCAAATTAGACCTTCTGGCAGGAACCATGTCTGTGTGCCATGCCTGGTATTTGTGTCGCCAAGCACTGGTAATAGGGATATGACTGCAGAAGGAACCAGGCTTGTGTCTTCTTTTAAAAGCCACTCTCTATACCCATGGGTTAAATGACACCATGATTACAGTCAAGTGTCTGGATGTCCCCAGTCCTGAGGAAAGGATGGTCACATATTAGTCAAAAGGTCTGGAAAACAGTTTATACCTGGGCCCAGGTGCTCATACTTGCAAACCCAACTCCATGAGGCAGCTTTAAGGCAAATTCATTTCTCCCTGAGGCCAGTCTCACTGGCCCTGCAGAGGATCCATTGTCTCAAATGCTAGTCAAGCTAAGTATCTCTTCCAGTGTGGCGAGCTCCCAAGGTGAGAGAAACCAGAACCCCCCCCCCCAAGCTTTCTAGCCATCTCCATCATCACTCGTGTATCCTGAGAGCAAGTCAATGCCTTGTGGTCCAAAGGAAACTGAGGTGTCCCCCCCCTTAGTCAGCCTCTTCCCCCTGGAACTCCTCCACTTGAGGGCACCCAGCCCCATGCAAAATCCCAAGCCTGGTGCTGATAGATGGTGACCTGCAGTCCCACCCAGCCAGTTGCTGCTTCTCACCCTCCCTGAGGCATCAACTCCATTGATTACAGGTACCAAGAATGGTAACCTGCCTCTGTTGGCAGATTGTTGTTTTGTCTTGTTTCAGCAGTAGTCAGGATTGGGCCTAGGGGTTTGCACACATAGGCAAGTATTCTACTACTGAGTCACATCCCAACCCTCTTTTCTAATTTACTAAGTTACCCAGACTGACCTTGAACTTAACTCTGTAAGCTAAGCAGACCTTTAATTTAGGATTTTCCAGCCTCAGCCTTGGGAGTAGCTAGGATTACAGACCTGATTAGTAACAGTTAGCAATACACACATACACACACAGACACACAGACACACACACACACACACACACATACACTTTTCACCTATCATAAAATTACCCTTTTAAGTGTGCAGTCCAAGCCAGGCGGTGGTAGCGCACACCTTTAATCCCAGCACTTGGGAGGCAGAGACAGGCAGATCTCTGTGAGTTCGAGGCCAGCTTGGTCTACAGAGTGAGTTCCAAGACAACGTCTAACACTACAGAAAAACCCCGTCTTGGGAATGGGGGTGGGGGGTAGGGGATGCAGTCCAGGGGTTTTTAGTATATTCACAGTTACCACCACCATCTAATTTTAGAGTATTTTTATGACCCCTTCCCCTGCCCAAAGGAAACTTCATGTCCCCTCTTGGTCAGTACCCCACTTCCCTTTCCCTCCAGCCCTTGGCAACCGATGCACTTTCTGTTCGTGGGTTTACCTGTTGTAAACACTATGTGTAAATAGAACCATTCAGCATGATTTTTTTTATGACTGGCTGCTTTCGATTGACGTGGTGTTTGAAGGTTCAGTCCTGTTGTGTATATGGGTCCCTCCTTCCTCTCTACTGCTGAATAACATTCCAGTGTACCACCATCTACCACTTGCTTTTTTACCTATCAAGTGAACATTTTACTCTTCAAGCTGGATTGGATTGCTCACATTGTTTGGCTACTATAAATAGCTACACTATTAACATTCATACACCTACAGACATGTTCCAGTTCTCTTGGGCATATACCTAAAAGGGGAATTGTTGGGTTATGAGGTAACTCTATATTTAACCGTTCGAGAAAACTACCCAACTATTTCCCAAAGTGACCATACCATTTTAAATCCCACCAGCAATACACAAAGTCTTAACATCGTCTTTGGCCTGCTGAGACTGGTGTCATCACCGAGTCCGTTGTCCAGATACAGAACTCTGAGGCTCATCTGGCAAATAACAAGGCTGGAACTCAAACCATGGTCTTGTGCTCTTAAGTGCCCTGCACATTCCACTGAGGTCTACTAAAAGTTGCCCTTCTTCTCCTATGAATAGCCTGGGTGTCTGAATGTGATTGTTGAGAAAAAATTCTCATGCGGCCTAGCCTGATCTTGAACTCACTATATAGATAAAGGTGACCTTGAACCTCTGATATTCCTGCCTCCACCTCCTGAGTGCTGGGATTAAAGTTTTTTGCTACCACCCTAGAATTAGAACAATGTGTTTCTACCCTTTCTGCTCTATACCTACATCTCTATGCCCTGGTGAGAAGTCTTTCTCTATTGCAGGATGTGTCAGGAAATGCTGCGTTTCTGGCCTTCACTCCTTTCGGGTTCGTTGTTCTTCAAGGAAACAAGAGGGTCCACTTTATTAAGTGGTGAGTATCTGTCTTCATCTCCAAAACAGGTTCATTATGCATCACTAACTGGGGAGGAGCTATGGTACCCATGTCCTTTGTCTGTGATGGGCAGTTAACGGTTTGCAGCCTTCTCCAAAGCCTTGAGTTGAGAATGGTAACTGACCAAGGTAGTGATCTCTTCCTAGGGATCCTGTTCTTTCAAAAGAGTGTCCCTGAGAGCCAACAGAAAGGGTATTGGGGTTGATATCTAGGGAAGCCTGCAACTGTACCCAACATAAGGGAAGTTCCCAAGTGAACTAAGTTTTTGGGTTCATCACCTGCTGAGGGCCACTGCCAGCATAGTTAAGGTCATTTAGGAACATCTCAATAGATGACCCAAAGTCCTCACTCCCCTAACAAGGAAGAGGTTCATAGACAATTACCCTGGAACAAATGTCACCTATGATACACAAAACACCCTCCTCAATAGCCCTCTGTGGGCACTTAGTCTACAAGAGTTCAGATGCGTCTCCATCTTTAGGGCTGAGTGTCCTCAGCCTCGAGAGTCACATCCTCACCTTTCCCCTACCCTCTCCCCTGACTCATCCAGCATGAGGAGCCACTGCCTTGGTTACAGCTACATTGCTTCCCCTCCTTGTTTTGTTTGGGCTTCCGTGATTGGCATTTGGCTATCTTAGGACATATTTGCTGCCCCATCCTTACACACATCTGTCAGTCTCACCAAAATACTCTGATAATTGAGAGCCTGTAATTTTTTCTTAAAAGTTTTTTTATTCGGGGCTGGAGAGATGGCTCAGCGGTTAAGAGCACTGGTTGCTCTTCCAAAGGACCTGGGTTCAAAACCCAGCACCCACATGGCTGCTCACAACAGTCTATAATGAGATCTGATGCCCTTGTTTGGCCTGCAGCCATGCATGCAGACAGAATACTGTACACATAATAAATAAATAAATCTTAAATATTTTTATTCTTTGACAATTTTGCAGTTTTGTACATACATACAATGTACCTTGAAATCTTGATAATATAAACCCCAACCTCTCCCACCACTCCCTAAGACCAACACCCACATCTCTTCCCCCTTCCTGTCCTTTTTTGGTTTTGGTTTTTTTTCTGTTTTTTGGGGTTTTTTGTTTGTTGTGTTTCATTTTGTTTTGTTTTGAGACAGCATCTATCTACATAGCCCTGGATGCCCTTGAACTTACTATGTAAACCAGGCTGGCCTCCAACTCAGATCTGCCTGCCTCTGCCTCCTAAGTACAGGGGATAAAGGCATGTACCATCACTGCCCGGCTAATGGATTTTTTATTTCATTTATTTATTTTGTATGTAGTGGGCACATATGCCATAGCACACATGTGATGGTCCAAGGACAGTTTTTCAGAGTCTGTCTCTCCTTCCCCAACGTGGGCCCTGGAATTGAACTCAGGTCATCAGGATCGGCATCATTTCTCATTGAACCATCTCACCAGCAGCCTCCCTCCCCCATCCTAAATATAGCCCAGAGTCCAACTAGTGCTGCCTGCACGTGCAGCCTACCCAGTAGCCACACCTCCCCAAAGAAAAATGGCCACACACACACACACACACACACACACACACACAGAAGCCATCGGTGGCCAGAGGTCCTCAGCTAGTGTCGGATCCTCACGTGCCCCTCCCCCGTTTGTGCTGAATGTACTGGCCAGTTTGCTCTTGTGCAGGTCTTGTGCTGTGCATACAGGAGTGCATGGCTTCACAGCACTCCTCCCCGTCCTCTGGCTCTTACGTACTCCCCACCTCTTCCATTATGTACCCTGAGCCTTGCAGGGTGGACACAGATGAGCACTGAAAGCTGAGCACTCACAGTCCCTTAGTCTCTGCATCTGACCAGTCATGAGTCTCTGCAGTAACCACTGCTCACTGCAGAAAGCAGCTCCACAGACCAAGACTGAACACCGACCTAAGGGTACAAACATAAATATTCAGAAAAGTCTGACAGCATGTTTGTCCAGCAAAACAGCAGCAGCAGAGCCTGTGACCTCATCCGCCATGGGCTGTTGACTGGGTTTACAGCACCAGGCATGCATTTCTATAGAACAGGCCTCAACTCCAATCAGAAGGCAGTTGGCTTTGTCCTAACAGTCATGCCGCTGTTGGGCACCAGTGGGCACATCCTGCCTGGCAGGCTAGTATTACAGCTGCAGGGTCCATCATCACTGCCTAAGTCCATTAGTAACTCTCTTCCCCCCTTTGGCACTACCAAAGCTACCCAGAAGGAAGTTTCTGGGTCAATTCCAACTTGAATTCTGTCCTGCAACCAAAGTGTGCTGTATCTTGAGCAATAGGGTCTTACCATATGATTATTGAGGACAACCAAGAGCAATGGCAGTAATAATAATAATAATAATAATAGCCTTTGTTGTTTTGATGCTTCTGGAAGCTTCCCTAATCTAATCTATCCCACACTGGCACTAAGATTTTCATTTAATAGCCTGTGTCTTTGGGGAAAGAATTATCCACCCATACAAGATACCTCTGTTCAAACTCTTTTAACAAAAAAGGTATATTTTAAAATTCCTTTACAAAGTGGTGGTGTTCCATAAGGTCTTTTCCATACATGCTTAGTTTTAGTTAACCTACTGTATCCCCTCTTCCCTCTCTACTCCCTCCCCCATTCTCACCCTAACTTCTAGAGCTCCCCCAGACACACTTTCATATCATACATGGTCTACTAGCCACCCCAAGGCCTCCTTCCCTCCCCTCTATCATAGGCCCTTTCTGGCTCCCTAACTTATACAGGAACTCCATATTAAACACACAAATCTAAAAATCCAAAGCTAGGGTGGACGTAAAAGAGAGCACAGTTTGAGCCCCAGTGATTTCAGTTCTGTATTGGGCCTCTCCCTGCCGTGTCTACATGAGCTAGTTCTTCTGACAAAGAGGTTGGATACACGGCTTCCCTTGGTCCAAGAGGGTTTGGTTAGGGAAACCTGGTCCTTCTAATGCATCCTTTACCTTCTCTTCAAGAGTATTGTCTGAGTAGAGTTGTTTTCTCATGAGTTTTCTTCTCAGGATGCTGTAGTCATCTCTTCCTGCACTACCCTACTCAAGTGATGCAGACCCCAGACACCTTCCTAGCCCAGAGAGCTCCTGTGGAGGATGGCAGTGTGATTAACGGACCCTCAGGAAACTACTCAGACAGTGGCGCTCTCCCACTCACAAAGCAGTTGGTATTATGGAGTCCTAGGCTCCCCCAAGTCGGCTCCCTTCACTGTACTTTCTGTGTGACGATGTGAGGATTTAACGTCTCCTAGCCAACATAGTGCTTCTCAGAAAAGGCTGGGAACAGGATTGGGCCACAGTCGCCCTTGTGTGGGTCCTTGGCTGCCTAAGTCTCTGAGCTATGTGGTGTTCCTTGAAAGGGTTTCCCCACCAGAGCGGTCGTCTCATATCTAGAAACAAGGTCATCCTTAGACACTCGAAGTCCCTGAGTGATCCCCGCCTCCCCACTTTTCATTCTCACATGTACCTCTCTCCCCAGAAAGTCTCCTCCTGTCCCAACTTCAGAATCATAGATGTAAACCCAGCCTCACATTCAAAAGGAAAAAAAAAAAACAAAACCTCATAGGCCAGATGTGATGACACACACCTGTAATCTCAGTTCTCAGGAATCAGAGGCAGGAGAATCACCTACATGTCAAGGCCAGCCTGGTCTACACAGAGTTCCAGGACAGCCAGGGCTACACAATGAAACCCTGTCTCAAAAAAAAAAAAAAAAAAAAAAAAAGAAGAAGAAGAAAGCAAAACTCTTTCTTTACCATACTTGTTAGAGGCTATATGCTCATTGAATTCTACCTGAGTATAAGATTGATGGTGGGTTGGCCAAACGAGAGAGGTGATAGAAAGAGGCTTGTACTAGCTCAAATCTGTAGTGGGAAGTTGTAAGCTTCGCTCTGATGCAGCCATGACTTTTCAGTGCAAACAAGTCATATCCCTCTGCACCCGTGTGGTATAGTCATAAACCAGGTATCTGGTTATTTCTGCATTTTTACTACTTCCCAGAATCCTGAGGAAATTGCCCTAGAGGTGACAGGAAGTAGACTGCTGATGGCAGATGTGCGTCACCTCCTTAGGGGTCTCAGGCAGCAAAACAAAAACTGCAACGGGATATCAGTCCCTGGGTTGGGCACACGGAGTGGTCAGTAGGGAGGCCTAGTCTTGTGGCTCTCAGGGACATCCAAATAAGTCTCAGGTAGTTCTCCCACTCTGTAAATGTAACCAAGGCTGAGAGCAGTTTGTGGAGGTGAGGTGTAGGCTGTGCCATGTACAGTAACCATGTCACTTCTGATTTGTGTCTGTCCCACGGGTGACGTACCCCAGTATCCTGTTTGCCTCTTTTACTGCAGCCATTCACTGGGCTGGTGGCTTCAAGGATTTTTCTACAATAACCCCTAAGCCCCTTTCCTGGTCAGTACGCTGCATGACTGTTCCATGTAATCTGTTCTCTTCTTGGTATGTTGCCCCACCCTTCCTTGAGATTGTTTGACATTTGTCTGCATTAAACTGCATTTTCCATCCAGTGGCACCGTCACCTGAAAGACTCGGCTCCCTCAGAACCCGGATGCATTGTATTTCATTATTTGCTGTTATCTTCAACTTTGGCCTCATCAGCTACTTGTGGCATCTTATATTCGACAGTCCCATCAGATAATGCACCCGTACTATGAGTCAAATCCGGAAATGACCCCACTCTCCTGCACTCACTTCCCATGCAAATGTTTCCCTTTTCCAGCCACTGTTGATGAGCCCGAAACCCTCCTATCACCCTGATTACAGTGTGGTTGACTGGAAAACTGTGGGTTGAACTGTCCCAATGACTGTTCTCTGAGGCCACTGCGCTACTGTCTTGTTTTCAGTTCTAATTTTGGCTAAGATTGTGTCTGTGCCTGGAGCCTCTTCCAGTCGGGTGGGCTGTGCATCTACGACTTACTTAGCTGTGGACAAGCAGCCCTCAGTCAGGTGACAGTTCCTCTCTTTGTGCTTCTAGGAATGAGGTGACCAAGCTGAAATTTGAAGGAAAGACTTTCTATTTATATGTAAGTCAGAAAGAGGTGAGTGCTGGCTTCCTTCTCTTCAGGGAGGGCACTGTGACAGTCCCTCTTTGCTGGAGCCAAGAGTAAGGAGTCTGGACAATGGAGGGGGGGGGATATGATCTGCCTCCTTGGCTAAAGCAAAGATCAGGGTATACAGGGGTGGGAAGGCCTGGAGATGGGTACCCAAAGATCCACTCAAGAGGCCTACCTCAAGGAAGCAGTCAAATGAGGTTCTCTTTCCCAGAGAATGCCCAGGGACTCTCTGCTTCTCACCAAGGGCTCTGTCAGGTTTGCCAGGTGTGAGGTGGTCATCAATGTGAACCCCTCTTCTAACTAGCCAGCTTCTCAAGGGTCCCAGCAGCACAGGACATAGGATCCTGGCCTTTTCCACACACCTCAACTGTTTCTCTATGGAATTTTTTACAGGAAAAGAAAATTATTCTCACATATTTCGCTCCAACTCCAGAAGCCTGTAAGCACCTCTGGAAATGTGGGATTGAGAATCAAGCCTTCTACAAGTGAGTGGAACACGTGATAGGGACTGTCTTTATCAAGGGTGGGGCCACTAGGCTACCTTCAGAGGAGAGGTAGGCCAATCATGAGAAGCAGGAAACCAGCAGAGTAATTCTTGTGTTGTGGCGGTGGTAGAGCCCAAGCTGGGAAAACCCAGTGGGTATATTGACTTGAATCACTGCCTCTGTGGTGCCTAGGAAGGCCTAGAAGACAGAAGTTCCATGAAAGACCCTGCACAGCCACAGCAGCATCCTGACCTCAGACCTCAGCCTTGGGGAGATGCTGGGGTCCCCTCCTGGTGGGTAGCCTAGCTGAAGAGCTGAAGATGGTGGCCACTTGGCTTGCTCCTGAGAAGCTAGGCTTGGGCTAGAGATAACTTTGCTTGCCAGAGAGTTTGGAGGAGTCTGGGAGGCTTCTGTATCTACTTTTCTCTGATTAAGAAAGTGGTGGCAAAAGCATCAGTTCACAAAGATATGGACCAGAGATGCTGAGGTGATGCCAAGGAAACAATTCACCAAACCCCTTGATCTTGTTTAAAAACAAACATATGACCTGTGTTTTAATAGATGTTCTGGGCTGGGGATTTAGTTCATTTGTTGGAGTGCTTGCCTTGTAAGCATGTGGTATGAGGTTCAGGACTCTGCATTGCATCAGCAGGACATGGTAACAAATGCCTGCTATCCCAACTCTCAGGAGCTGGGGGCATAAGGATCAGCTAAAAGTTATCCTCAGCTACAAAGTGAGATGCAAGATAGCCTGGGCTACAGGGGACCCTGTGTCAAAGAAACAGTGTATTGTAACAATGCCGGTGTTATAGACTCCAGTTGCGACCCTTACTATCACCAAATGCCCTCCTGAAGGAGTTTGGGGAAATCAGGACTGCTCTCTGCAGAGATAATGAGCGAACTCCAGCCAATAGAACTGATCTCCTGCAGTTGCCAGGGCCACAGCCCCAGAGCTGTGTCTTGGGAAGACGTTCTCAGTCCTGGATACTCACTGTGCACTTGATAGTAGCACCAGGGTGAACTGAATAGACAGGGTGCATTCTACCCTGATTAGGCTTCCTTCCCAGTGGGGCACGAGGGAGACACTTTAGCAAGCTTGAATCTCCCTGCTATTGAGACAGCCAAGGAGACTGGGGGGCGGGCGGGTGCTGGAGGTTTGGATACCATCTCCCCTGCACCTGTGAGGACAATGCCTAGCTTCACTCAGCTACATGAACCTAGAGAGAAGCAAATTCGAGAGACAAACTCTTGCTGGTGGGGCTTAGGAGCAGCCCAGGATGGGGTGGGGCTGGCTCCCACTAAGCTCCTGTTGCCCTGGGGATTCCGAAGCATCCCCATTCTCTCTCACACAAAAGGAAGCAGCTGCTGCCCTGTGCTTCTGTTTTTGATCTGTGTCCTGGAAATAAACACTGGTTCCTGCTGGTGGGCAGCATCCAGTGCAGACCACCGAGGGCTTTTTCTTGCACCTAAAATGAAAGTTCGCATAGCCTTTGCAGGGAGCTGCCTGCCCATCTTCTGTCGGCCCATCAGGTGATTTGAGCCATGTGTCACCATGAACTCTGCTTTGCTATAGGCTGGAGAAGTCAAGTCAAGTCCGTACCGTGTCCAGCAGCAATCTATTCTTTAAAGGGAGCCGGTTCCGATACAGGTAAATAGTGACAGTAAGTAGCCATTCTAGATCTCTTTCCAGACCCTTCTCTAGAGAACAGTCTCCATGTGCCTTATCCTCAAGAACAGAGAGATCAGAGCTCTCTGCAGAGCCTGGGGTTTCTCCCAATTTCTGAGCCTTTTACCCTTTTCTTCTCTAGCTGCTGGTCTCTTCTTCCCTCATGGTGTTAATCCCACTGGGAAAGAACAAGACCACTCCCACAAGTTTTGAGCCAAATTTGAAGCAAGCTTTATTAAATACTGGGCAGGATGATGGACATTGGCCAGGTTCTTACCCATGATTCCCAGAGTACAGTATCAAATTACATCATTCAGGGGCTTCTAAAGGCAAAACCCAGAAGGCTACACACTACCCACCAGCGATCAATCAGGGGCGAGCATACATCCTGACACACTTCCTGCCTATGCACCTCTCACCTACATGTGATCAAGCGCATCCTGTGTCGTTGGGGGCAACCAAACTTGCTTAGAGAAGCAAAATGCATGAACAGCCCCCAGCATCCCAGCAAGTTATCTGGGCAAGTGGGGCTTACAGGTTAGAGGCATTGCTTTCTAGATCTCTTAAGCACAGTAATCTAAAGTTAAAACATAACTTAGGATGTCTAACGGCTCAAAGCCTCTTGGGAGGGTATAGTATGAGCTGAGCTAGGGCTTTTTAATTTTGTGACTGGGGAACCTCTCTTTCACACATTCACCAATTCGAACTGCAACAAAATCTAGGAGTTAGCCACCACAGTAGCCGTAGCAAAACAAGAACCATGACAGTTGTTCTTTGTGTGTCCCCTCCCTGAGGGGCTTGGGGCTTTTTCCTGGTGATTCACGAGACCAGAGGAATTCTTCCTAATTAAGAATGCAGTTGGGCATGTGTGGCACACGCCTTTAATTCCAGCAATGGCAGAGGCAGGAGGATATCTGTGAGTTCAAGGCCAGCCTGATCTACACAGCAAGTTCCAGGACAGCCAAGGCTACACAGAGAGACTATCTCAAAAAAGTGGGGGGAGAGGGACCCCAGAGACTCTAGCGATGAAGAGATAAGCTAAGCCATCATGGTGTGCTAGAAGTCTTTGTCGCATCAGCATCAAGAAAGCCTTCTGTGGTGACTGAAGCCTTGGGGGATGATGAGGCAGATGCCAGAGCACCTGAGATCTTGGAGCCTAGTCCTGATCACTGTCTCCTTTCTTGTCTATTTTATCATTTAACAGCGGCCGGGTTGCAAAGGAAGTAATGGAGTCAAGTGCCAAGATCAAACGGGAGCCACCAGAAATACACAGGTAGGCTGACGGCACTCCTGAACCAAATCCAAATCGGATCCCAGAATCTCAAAAGACCTAGCAAGCAGAGCTCTGTGAAGCTTCTGGCCAAAACAGATACCAAAAGAGAGGAGACAGAGGCCGAAGAGGGAAGGACACAGGGATGGGCATGCAACCTTTAACACAAGGGGAGAGAGCCACTGCCAACAGCACATCAGCAGGGGGCACCTCACTCAGCACTTCTGCTCAACCCTCCCCAGCCTTAACATGGACCACAGACATGAAAATGCGGCAAAGCATTGACACCTAGCTGTCCTGAAATTACTCCATTACAGAAAATCTCATGTAACCTCATGACCCATGTCACATGTGTTCATAAATTGCATTTCTAAAAAGTCTGCCTTCCTCTAGCCCAATACAAAGACTGGCCAAGAGGGCTAGGATTTGCCCACCAGCCTGTACTTCTGGGAACGGGACAACACCTGCCCTTGACACAGCCTATTGAAAACTAAGGAAACTGCCAGTACTGTCTCCAGACACATTTCAGGAGCATGTCTCATGCTAGGGCTCTATTCCCTGACAGTCCTGTCCCTCAAAACCCTGGCACTTGTGGCCACACAACAGAAAGACTGTGTAACCAGTGAAAAGAAGTGAGGGATTCTAAAGCAGGATGTTTGAGACTCAGGGGCCAAAAGTCTAGAGCATTTGTTAATATCTAGACACCCCATCTGTCTGTGCCCTGGTAAAGTGGTTCTCTTTCCATTCAATCTCAGAGCAGGGATGGTTCCGAGCCGCAGCTGTCCCTCCATAACCCATGGCCCAAGGCTGAGCAGCGTCCCCAGGACACGAAGAAGAGCTGTTCACATCTCCATCATGGAAGGTGAGTCTGGGCTCCTGGAGGTGACTCTGGTGTCTATACACTGTAACACAGCCACGTTCTTCTTCCGGACCTGGACTAGTTACTTTCTGTTGCTGTGATAAAATGCCACAACCAAAACAACACATATGAGCTTATTCGCCCTTATGGTTCCATCAGGGTAAGAGTGCAGCATGGCAGGGAGACAAGGCCGGGACAGCAAGCCGAGCGCTCACATCTTCAACAAACACAGGGCAGAGAACTGGAAGTGGGGTGAAGCTTCTATCAATGCCAAAACCCCACCCCCGTGGCACACTTCCTCCAACAGGCCACACCTCCTAAGCCTCAACATCACCAACCAAGTGTTCAAATACCCAAGACTGTAGTGGGCATTTTTGCCAAACCACCAGGGACCTTGAAAAGAAACTGCAGCCGGGTGTTGGTGGCATACACCTTTAATCCCAACACTCAAGAGGCACAGACAGATGATCTCTGTGAGTTCAAGGCCAGCCTGGTCTACAAAGTGAGTTTCATTTCAGCCAGGACTGTTAGAGAAACCCTGTTGCAGAAAGAAAAGAGATTTGCTTTAGAAACAACATCAGACTCTTGGGGGAAGAGCCCATGGCAGGTAGGTAGAAGGTTCTACACAAAGGGTGGGAATGCATGTTCAGTCCCCAGCATGAAACCTGACGTGATCAGGTAAAGGTAAGAGGATCGTGAAAGTGCATGCCCATAATGCCAGCATTCGGGAAGCTGAGGCAGGAGGATCACCCTGAGTTCAAGGCCAGGATGAAGTACATAGCAAGACCTTACCTCAAAAGCAAACTTCTCAGGTAAGAATGTACCTCAGAGGGGGTCTCTGGTTTGTATTAGACTTTAGATTGTGATTCGTGAACCTCACCTAGAAGAAGCCTGGAGAGGCAGCGACCATCAAAGCAGTTGCTTCATTTGCAGACTGGCGCATCCCCTGCCTGCTGTGAATGCAGGGAATCTAACATACATGAAACACTTTTTGTCATTTGTTTGTGACAAACTTTTACTCTGTAGCCCAGGCTAGCCTCAGACTTTCAACAGTCCTCCTGTCTCTGCCTCCCAACAGCTTGGATTATAAATGTGAGCTGTGTAAAGCACTTTGGAGAGAAGTCCCCCTCCCCATGGCATTTTGCAAGCCTGGAGCCGGAATCTGCTAATACATACGGCTGACTGGGATGTGACCAGGACCATCAAAGGACACAAACAGAAGTCCAAGGAATGTACTTTTTGGCTGTGTGAAGTTAGTTCATATTCCTCCCAAGGCAGCCTTCTCTAGAGGGCACACCATCACAGAAGCCCTCTGGCTTTTCTAGAAAAGCTGTATTTGCTATCTCTAAAGACAGGAGGGAAATTACAAAATTCCATTAACATGGCATCACAGTTCGAATGAAGCATAAAATCCCCACAAACGGGGCTACTTTAAAAACAGACTATGAGATCAGGTTGAGGTGGGGCACACCTTTAACCCCAGCACTTGGGAGGTGGAGGCAGGTGAATTTCTGTGAGTTGGAGGCCAGCCAGGTCTACAGAGTGAGTTCCAGGACAGCCAGGGATCCAGACAGAGAAACCCTGTCTTGTAAAACCATTTTTAAAGAAAGACTATGGCTTGTTTCATCCTATAATTTACTATGGAGGATGCCCAGACTAACAGGCCTGGGCCCAGGAGGATGCTCAGGAATAGTGGTGTCCTTCACCCAGTGTCTAGGGAGGGGCAGAATGTGGAGATCAGCTGTGTGTGTTGAGGGGTGGACAGATACAGCTCAGTCCCAGAGCCACCTCTACCTCAGTTCCTGTGACTTGACTGTACCACAGATGGCCTGTGTGTGACTTCATAGCCTGTTTTCTGGGACAATTTTAGTTGGTCCATTTCCCTTTACCCCTGAGAGCCTGAGCCGTACAGGGGCCTCAGAGAACAAGCTGCAGGCTGGCGAGCATTGCTTTTTATGGATGTAAGCACTTCTGACTGAACCCAGTCCCCTGATAAGGATGGCCTCTCCTCTCCAAGCTTCTCCCTCCTTGCAGCTCAGCCTGACCCGAGGCTCCCAGAGCCAGCAGCCTACCCAGGTGAAGGCACTGCTACAGACAGGGGGCTGCCATGGCATGGAACCGGTGAAGTCTTTGTCCCTAGCTGGCTGGCTGTTTCCCCTGAAGAAGGAAAGCCTTCCTGGACTGCCATGGGAAAGAGTCTCATTAAGATTCATACCAGAGTCCATGTCCAGCTCCGGTTCACTAACCACTGCCTTCGACCCCTAAGCATACGCATCCTGAGGATGGGACCCCGGCTTCAGGGTAGGGTCCTAACAGCTGTCCCCCCAGGCCCACTGGGAGCCACCTCTGGACAGAGGCATCAGCTAGAGCACCTCCAAGGTAATTATACTGTCTTGCTGTGCCACTTAGCCCACCCTTCCCCAGCACCAACCCCAGCACCCCCCACCACCCAGACTAATGGGTCTGATGAAGGGCAGAGTGAATGGTCGCTCCTATAGCAGCAAAAGATGCATTTTTTGAAATCATGAAACTTGCAGAAAATGGGTAGATCTGGAAATTATTAAGGGAGGTCACCCAAAGTACTGCATATTTTCTCCTAGGCTGATTCTAGCTTTTAATCTTTACACATGTGGGTATGGGTGTAGGTTGTGAAACCAGAAAGGGGACCATGGTGGGGGGGGGTGTTGAGGGTCAGAGTCATAGCTTGGGTAGCACAAGGCTCTGCTTTCAATCCCCAGCACTGCATAGACCAAGCATGGTGGCACACGCCTGTATCCCAGCATTTGGACGGTAGGGGCAGGAGGATGAACGTTCAAGGTCAACTTGGACTACACAGTGAGTTTGAAGCCAGACTAGGATAGCAGAGATGGTAGCTCTGAAAAAAGATTAACGGTTTTGGGGAACTAGAACAAATGTGCCTCGGAAGTGCAAAGGGGGACACAGTTGGGGGTGCAGACAGTGGGAGCAGGGCGTAGGGCAAAAGAGAGAGGAGGGGCTACAAAAACAGATTGTTTGAAAATGCCATAATGGAACCTAATACTCTATATGCTGATTTACAATAGAAACAAAAAAGTATGTATTTCATTTAAAAGGACAAATTGTTTAAAGTGGGACGTTATTCCATAATCAATGCTAAGTTTATGGTAATGTTTCTGGATAATTTAAATGCATACAATAACATTTTGAATGAGACACAACACTTAATATGCAAAACACACACAAAAAAAGATAAGTTTGGAAGGGAGGGAGGGAGTGTTGGCTGAATTTTCTTGTTCAGACCAGCCTGATATGGAATGAGCTTACAGGCGAGGGTTTCTGAACACTGAGGTGTTTGGCAAGCCAACTGTAGTAGCCAGGCATTCTACTTGAAATGGATAGCTACCCATATCTTGCTTGCTGAAGTGCCAACAATGTAGCACACCATGGCTTCTGACTGCTGTCCTCTGATGTCAGCGTCTTGCCTCTCCTCCCCCAGCCAGCTTAGGGATTAATCACAAGCCAAAATGCATCTGCACTGAAGTGGCCTCGACAACCAAGCTGGTCATACCTCAGGAGATCTGGCTGTCAGAGATGTCCTTGAGAGGGGACAGGCTTTTCAGAGGGTGTCATGTGCTGTGCTGAGGGCACAGGAAGGAAGTGGGGCAGAGGCCAGGATCACGCTCCAGCCAGGGCCTTTTAAGGGTTGTTTCATCAGTGATGCAGAGAGCATTCCCATCACATGTGCCGGCAGAGGGAGAGCTCGGGAAATTCAGAGAAATCAAGAGTGCTGGCTCAAGGGACAGGTACTCTTAATGTCAAGTCATGTCACGGGGTTGTTTGGTGATTCAGACTCAGGGCAGGTGCAGGCCACAGAACGAATGCACCCTGCATTCCATCAGCAACACTATAATCACAGGCTTCGAGGTTCCATCCACAGCCAGTATGTGACTCAGAACAGGTCCTGTGACTGCCCACCCCATCACCTTATGGAGTTGTTGAAAGACATACAAATGAAATTTTTAGCCAGGCGGTGGCGGCCCATGTCACTCACACGTCTTTAATCCCAACACTCAACAGGCAGAGGCAGGCGGATTTCTGTGAGTTCAAGGCCAGCCTGGTCGGTCTACAGAGTGAGTTCCAGGACAGCCAGGAATACACAGAGAAACCCTGCCTCAAAAAAACCAACCAGCCAGTAAATACATAATTTTAGACATTTAAAAATGCCCATCGGGTACTTCTTTTGTGCTGCTCTTGATGTCTAAATATGGAGTCGACAGCTACTGCTGCAGTATCATGGATCAGAGAGGCACCTCACAAACCGAATGGATGCCACCGGACGTTAAAGCTTATTCCTGTGCTTTCTACCTTTCCAGGCCTGGAGTCCCTACGAGACAGTGCCCATTCCACACCAGTGCGGTCCTCTTCCCATGGGGACACCTTCTTGCCTCATGTGAGAAGCAGCCGGGCAGACAGCAATGAACGAGTAGCTGTGATCGCAGATGAGGCCTACAGCCCCGCAGACAGCGTGTTACCTACACCTGTGGCCGAGCACAGCTTGGAGCTGATGCTGCTTTCGCGGCAGATCAACGGAGCTACGTGCAGCATTGAGGAGGAGAAGGAGTCTGAGGCCAGCACCCCAACAGCGGCAGAGGTGGAGGCCCTCGGAGGAGAGCTGAGGGCCCTGTGTCAGGGGCACAGCGGGCCAGAGCAAGAACAGGTGAATAAGTTTGTTTTAAGTGTCCTCCGTTTGCTCCTTGTGACCGTGGGGCTCCTCTTTGTTTTGCTCCTCCTCCTGATCATCCTCACTGAGTCTGACCTTGACATTGCCTTTTTCCGAGATATCCGCCAGACCCCTGAGTTTGAACAATTCCACTATCAATACTTTTGTCCCCTCAGGCGATGGTTTGCCTGCAAAATCCGCTCAGTGGTGAGCCTGCTCATTGACACCTGAGAAGGCATGACTCCTCCCAATAACTAGCCAGGTGGACCAAGGAACCCGGCTACCCATTCCCAGCAATGGGACCCATCGCGGAACCATCGGCACACACACCAAGTCCTCCTCTCATGACTCAAAGTCCACTGCAGCCTAGGAGGGTTGTTTCCCAGAAGAAAGGGGCATAGGCTAATGCTGTAAAGAAGCTGGCAAAACTCAATTTCTCCAGAGGCTCTTTCAAGAAAGGCTCAGCAACCCTGTTTCTCAAGCTTCAATATGCAGGATAACTTTTGGGTTCAAATTTTAATTTTTCATAGATGTGTTTTATTTTGAAAGTATCCAAATAAAAATAATTTATTTTACTACACTGATTATTGCAGCAGTGTCACCTGGTAGATGGGACACTAGTGAAGACTTAAGAGAGCTGTTGTCCTCTGTACCCCACAGCTTTCTCACTGGTGCCACTGGGTTCCGGGAGACCCAGCAAGGCAGGCCAGGGCTGTGGACAGCCAGGATTGTTGAGGTTTACTTGCCAGACAGAAGGGTTAACAAAGTAAACACCTGTGTAGAATAATTAAATAGAAAGTTGCTTCTTACGATGGCCTGAGTTGGATTTTCTTTTCCTTTTGTTTTCTTAAACCTGAGCACAGTGGGCATCTGAAGGGACCACGGCTACAGCAGCAGCAACAGCAGGGGTGGGGTAAGTCTGTCCCCTTAGACTAGAGCCTAGTGGACATCACTGAGTTTTATTGATGACTTTCTTTCTGAAGAACCTCAAGGCTCTTCTAGTGCTTCTGGGGCGTCACCGAAGTCAGTGGCAGCAGAGTGACTGTCCCGGAATGTCCTGCCGTGTAGTTACCAGAGACCTGTGCTAAGTCGACTGCCTGAGTGCCTGTGGGCATAGAGAGCAGTGCTTGTTTTGTAGTGTGCCCTTCCTAAAAGGACTATTTCAAGCTCTATTTTAACAGCAAATATTATTTTCTTATCTACTCATTTTTTGTTTTTACTTTACGGATTAACAAAGTAGGACCTGATGAACTTTAGATGCAAGAGAGAAACAGATCTGAGGAAACATCAAGAACCAGCAGCAGCCTTGGAAGGGACCAGGAGACATTCTAAACAGACTCCCTAAGTGATGCCTACAAGAGACAGAATTTGACCATGGCAGAGACCAACACTTACCATAGAAATGCCACCCATAGGGTCAGTGCCTCTGCTCCTGGAAATAAGGCCCAGGAGAATCCTTGGAGGGCGTCACTCACTGCAGCACTGGACCACAAAGGTGAGCAGGAGTCCCCAGGCCCTTACACTTAAAAACAGTCACACACAAGACCTTGTTTTCGTCTCAGGGAGAGGTTGCTAAGTCATCTGAGGCCCAAGGACTTATTTAAAGGACCATCAAGGGGCATACTCCTGGGACCCAGACAACAGCAGAGCTAAACAGCCCCAAATGTAGAACAATTGGACTGTAGCACATTTGAGCTCTTCTTGGTTTTTGTTTTTGTTTTGTTTTGGTTTTTGCCTGGGATGGTAAAAACCATGTCCGTGTTCTGAATATGGCAGCCACAGAAAAACCAACAGCATTTACGTAATTTTGAAGATACCATCCTTATCTAGACAAAGGTGAGCAAACTTCTTTTAATAAACTTTGGTTTGTGGACCATACTCTGACACCCTAGCACACCTCTGACAATGTATGCATAAAGGAACATGGCTTGTTCCAAGAAAACATTATTTTTAAAAAGATGTAGGGCTGACAATGTAGCTCAGTGGGTATTTGCCTAGCATTCATAAGGCCCTGATTTCATCATTAACACTATATAAAACCAGGTGTGGTGGCATACACCTGTGGTCCCAGCATCCAGGTGGAGATAGGATCAGAAATTTAAGATCATCCTCAGTTACATAGTAGTTCAAGGCCAACCGAGGATTCATGAGAACCTGTCTCAGACCACTGGCCTCCCACTTCCCAAAACAAAACAACACAGCCTAAAATTTCAATATGCTGAAGTTGGCCCACAGCCATTAAGACACAGACCCTGACCTACACAATACAACTGTCACACATTAACAAGAGGGCCACCTTTGATTTCTGTCTCATGTAAAGCCCGGAATCATTTCCCCATGGAGGCTTTGCCAGCAGTGATGTCAAATCTGACACCAAGATCAAGTACTGCCACTCTGAACAGCGGTGACTCTTAAGAATGGACACAGGCCTATCTGATCATTTCCATACCAGCAACAGTTTAGGTAAAACCTAAAACATACTGAGGGGATCCTAGTAAACACTAGAGATCACTTCAAAGCAATGAGCCACTGCCACTCGTCACCTGCATAGCAAGGGTTTACTTAGCACAGGACTCACATGAAAAAGCCCCCCAGAGATGCAAACATTGGGAAACAGGGCTGGTGTGAACCGGAATTTCTATTCTTATGCAACATAGCAGATTGCCTTCTAGTGTAGTGCTCCTACCTCAGTTTGTAGAACACAGCGTCTATGCAGTGAGTGGTAGCCTCGCCTCTGACCCTTCGTAGCCAAGAGAGGGAGGCAGCCTGCCATTGCCTGATGTGTTTCTTGTGTCTAGAGTCCTAACAAACAGTGCAGCGGTCCTTGCCATTTCCAACATCTGACCCGGAACCTTCAGCTTCTTTTTTCCAAGGCTTATCCCAGAAAATAAGGACAGAAAAGGCCTCCTTCAATTTGGTTCCCAAATAGTTTTCAGTAGTTCAACGACAAACCCCCGTTACTGGTGACTAGTGTCTTTTCAGTATTTTCCCATCATTAAAAACGTTCTGGTTTTGAGTCTGGTTTTGCTGTGTCTCTTATTTCCTTTCAGAATTAGTTGATCTCACTGTAGAAAAGCAGACTTGCATGCACAGTCAGTCAGAGGCTGATGCCTCCTGAGCAGCGGGCTGCGCCTGTAAGCAGTAGAGGGTAAACCACCTACAAATGTGAATTCTTAGTTTCATTTAACAATAGATAGTTGTTAACCTTTCGTGTGCCAAAATCTCTTACGTTACATTTTCCTTCAAAGCAATGTACTTTTTTTCTACATATGCAGTATGTAGTTAGCATAAAATCATTGGTGCCATGAAGATTATTTTTAAACTTAAATAAATATTTAAAATACCGTAAAAGAATGTTTGGTCTTTGTAACCTGTCTCACTTTATCAAAAGTTACCACTACATGGAGGGGACCCAGTTCAGATCCCAGCATTCATGTAGCAGCTCACACCTGGTTAGAACTTCAGTTCCAAGGGATCTGACACCCTTTTCTGACCTCCTCGGGCAACACACACATGCAGGGCACAAACATATAATAAAAATCAATAAAATCAAAAGATCTTTATCAGCTATAAAACAGAACTACCATTATAAATATCCATGATAATTAATAAACTAAGCCTCCAACCTTAGTTTTAGTGTTTTTGTTTGAGATAGGTTTTCACTGGCTGGCCTGGAATTCACTAGGTAGGTGAAGCTGCCTTTGAACTCAGACCTGCCTATCTGCCTCTCAGGTGATGGAGTTTAAGCCACACTCCACCACACTTGGCTCGTAAGATTCTTTTTTTCTTTTTTGGTTTTTCTTTTCTTTTCTTTTTTTTTTTTGGTTTTTCGAGACAGGGTTTCTCTGAATTGTTTTGGAGGCTATCGGTCCAGCCCAGCCTCGAACTCACAGAGATCCGCCTGCCTCTGCCTCCCGAGTGCTAGGATTAAAGGCGTGCGCCACCACCGCCCGGCTTCTTTTTTGGTTTTTCAAGACAGGGTTTCTCTGTGTAGCTTTGGAGGCTGTCCTGACACTCGCTCTGTAGACCAGGCTGGTCTTAAACTCACAAGAGCTATGCCGGTCTCTGCCTCCTGAGTGCTGGGATTAAAGGCGTGCGCCACCACCATCCGGCTTTAAGATTCTTTTTTTAACCTTAGTATTATCTTATGTGTGTAAGTGTTCTGCTTGTATGTATGTCTATATCCTGTATGCAGTACCCAGAAGCCAGATGAAAGCACTGGATCCCTTAAAACTGGAGTTACACTTGGCTGTGAAAACCATGTGAGTGCTGGGGATCGAACCTGGGTCATTTGGAAGAGCACCAGTGCTCCTAATTGCTGAGCCATCTCTAGTGTCCAGATTTATAAAGATTACTCAAAGAAAATTCATACTTTCATACTTTATTTCTGTGACATATGAGTATTCCCTCTTGCAATCCAAACACATGGCCTAAGCTATTTATAGGTCTTTCAGTAGTAACTTTGGCAAGTAACATAGGAAAGGTTGGATACATGTTACACTGTGACACCAAGCCACTGATTTAGCAGAATATACATAAACATACACCATATGAAACTAAGTTTTATTTTAAAATATTCTATTAAAAAATCCCAATTCTGCTTTCTGTGCTTTACTAATTGGGGGTGAAGGAAGGAGAGCCAGGTGTAGCCTGGAGTCCTGACTCTCCTGCTGGGATTACGAATTTCATGTGAAAAGCTACCACAGTTAGCAGTACACAGTTATACACTTGAATATAGGATAATGGTGCAAGTTCAAACACTGCAGTCCCAGCTCATTGCTGGAGCTGCCCAGAGGAAGAAGGCAGACAAGACTCCAGGCATGCAGACGCAGGCCTTCATCACAGAAACCAACTTTCCCAAAGAAAACTGTGGGATTTCATGTAACTGAGATACAAGAACCCCAAAAAAGGCTCTTAGCTTCTCCACCTTAGAAGTGAGGTCATCACAGATCCACATCACTAACCCTCTGTCTGCCTATTTCTGTGTCTGTCTGATTTGTCTCTTTTGTGTGGTCTTTAACCCCTTTAACCTCATTTCTAAGTTACATTACTTTGAAGACTAAAGTTTCTTAATTTCAAACTCAAATTCAAAAAAAAAAAAAAAGGCTCTTAGCTTACAAAACTAAGTTCTGGCTGGGTAGTACACACCAGTAGTCCTAGAATTTGGAAAAGTGAGGCAGGAGAACTAAAGCTCAAACCTGAGCTACAGAGCAAAACACAGTCCCAAAAACGACAAAGCAAAACAACTAAGGTTTAAAGGTGGGGTGTGGGTCAATAATGGAATACATGCCTAACATGTGACAGTCCCTGGGGTCTAGTCATATTTCATAATTAGACTTAGATGATCTTTTGGGACCTATCCCAGTGTGAAAAATAAGTATCCATCCCAAACTATAAAATAAATCATATCTATAGATCACTATTGAATCAAAATGGTCTCATTACATAAAAGTTAATACTGACCACGCAAAGCTTTATAATTTGATAGAATTTCTCAAAATACAGCCTAATTAAAAGTGTTGAAAGACGCTGAGTGGAGTGGTGCATGCCTGTAATCTTAGCACTTAGGTGGTGGAGGCAAGAGGCTCCAGAGACTGAGGCCAGCCTGGGCTACACAAGGCCCTGGCTCAAAGTGCTAAGAGCATCCCAGGTTCTGCTTCAGGTCCCTCCAGTGATGGCCTTCAAGTTCCTCCTGTGCTAATACTACCTCCTGTGCTAATACTCAGTCTCACTGAGAAAGCAATGTTGCAGTTACTGCATTAGCAAACAGATGCACTAAGCCGAGAGAACCACGAGGTTCCTTTGCCACACAACAATTTGAGCAAATTGTTGAACCTACCCTATAGCTCAGAAGCTTTCTTGACGCATAAAAACATGTAACCTCCCACTGGAATTACCTCCAGCCAGAACATAGCGGGTAGGGTGCATAACATTGAGGGAACACACAGATACAAGACATTCTCCCAAAAGAGAACGCACACTCTTTCCCGTCTCATGGAGGATTTCCACCCGCCGTGGGTGGGCCATACTGCCAACTATGAAGCAATCTTCTTGTTTAGGGTCCCACACAGCTTGGAACCTCGTTAGCCATCTCCCAGTGATAGTGTTATGCCTAGTAGGGAAAAACAAAGACAAAACAGTATTTACTTTGAAATGTTAAATAATTCAAGGCAGCACAGAACAGAAGGTCAAAACCAAAACCCAGTGTAGAAACCATCATCCATATCTGCTTCACCTTCCAGCCTTCAGCTTGTGCTCAGAGGGACTATAGAAATGTTACCTTTTCTGGGGCTGGAGAGAGAGCTCCGTGGTCAAGAGCACTTTTTGGTCTGATTCCCAGCACCCATATGATAGCTTACCACCATCCATAACTCTGGTTCCAAAGTACCCAACGCCCCTCTCTTCTGACTCAGCAGGCACCAGACGCACATGGTGCACACACATACATACAGGCAGAAGACTCACACACGTTAATTTTTTTTAAATAAAAGATAACTTGTCATTTTTTCCCTCTTTTTTTAAAACCAGGGTCTTAGGAAGCCCGGCTGACTTTGAACTCCCCAAGTATCAGCAAATGGCCTTAAAGTTTTGATCCCCCTGCATCTACCTCCCGGGTAACGAAATTACACCACACCTCACCTCCCTTATACAGTACTGGGAATCAAACCCAGGGTCTCATGCTTGTTAGGCAAGTGCTCTAGCGACTGTACTGCATCCACAGCCCTGTACCTTTCCTGCTCACTGTTCTATACACACAAGAAAAAGAACTTAAGACATGCTGTGAACCGTTATATACCAACAGACTGAGTAGCCTACAAGAAACAGACGAATTCCTAGGAACACAGTTGCCAACAGTAACCCTAAAGAATTAAAAACTATAAATTCATTCATAACTAGTTAAGGGGGTTCACACACACATGTACTCACACATAGAGGGAGGAGGTAGAGGGAGAGAGATGAGAATAAGTTTCTGTAGTATTACTTTTCCTTTTTGTTTGATACAGAATCTCATTCTGTAGCCCAGAAATTACTATGTAGCTCAGTCTCACCCCCAACCTGTGGCAATTCTGCTGCCTTACCCTTCAAGCAAAGGCATTACCTGTGTGCACCTTTGTATTCAGCTTTCTTAATGAACACTGATACAAAAATCCTCAACCTGGAGGTGTGGCTCTGTATCTATCATACACAAAGCCCTGAGTCCAATCCCCGGCACCACATAAACTAGGTATGGTTTGCACACACTTGTAATCAAGAACTGGGAAGGCAGAGGCAAGAAGGTTAAGATTTCAAGGTCATTCTCAGGTACAACAAATTCCAGCCCAACCTAGGATAAAGAGACGCCTACCTCAAAAAAGGAAAAAAAATATATACATACATACATACATATATACACATATATGTAATAATAATAATAAACAAACTGAATTAAACAGCATAGGAAAAGAATTACACACTATGGTTAAGTAGGAGACAAACAGTGTAACATACCATGTTAACAAAGTGAAGGACAGGCACTTGGTTGTCACAACTGATGCTGAAAATGAGTTCATAATGCACTCACTCAACAAACTGGGAGCTGAGGGAGACAATCACAACACAATGAAGTCCACATATGAGAAGCCCATGACGCACCACACCCATTGAAGACTGAAAGCTTTCCCTCTGGGATCAAGAGTAAGGTAAGGATGCCCCCTCACCACTAACATGGTATCAGCTATCAAAACCTGATCATTTACATGGGGGGGGGGATTGTGTCTGCAGATGCCATGATCACATTCATAAAAACAAAATATGATAAAAGATTCCACACATTTAAAAATCTACCTGAATAATTTCAAGAAGAGTTACAGGATACAGGGACTGGGGAGACGATAAGCTAATAAAGTTCTTACCACACAAACATAAGAAATGGAGTTCAAGCCCAAGAATCTACTTAAAAAGCTGGTTATTACGGTACCATCAGCACACTTGTAATTCCAGTGCTAAGAATACAGAGACGGGGATTACTGGCCAGCCAGCCTCGCCAAAACTGTGAGCCCCAGATACCACTGAGAAACCCTGTCTCAAAATTTAAAGTAGCCAGTTCCCAACAGGACACCACCTAAGGTTGAGCTCAGGCTTCCACACAACGCAGGAGTGCTCACACACACAATTTTTAAAACATAGGATACAAAAATCAACAAACATAAAAATATGTTATATTTAATCCAGGCAGTGGTCTCTGCTGTTGAGAGGAAGATTACTTTCATCCAGGAGTTTGGGCTATCTTGGGCAAACAGCAAGACCCCCATCACTTAAAGGAAAAAACAAAACAACAACAAAACAAAAAATTCTTCAGACTGAAAGGACTTACTGTCTAAAAGTCTAACAGGAAGAGAATTCCTGAGAACAGTTATATTCAGGAAACCAGGGTCTTATGTCAAGATACATATCTACTTCTCAATGGTGATGTGTCACTGCCATTGGTGACATCTGGTGGGATATTATGGTCTAGATGTAGAATGCACCACAGGCTCCTGTGCTTTGCACACTTGGTTCCCAGCTGGTGTTACTACTGTGGGCAGCTGTGGACCCTGTAGGAAGTGCCGCCTCACTGGAAGAAGTGGTTAACCCTGTCCTTTTAGAAAACTGCTTCTGCATTCACTGAGATGTGAGGACATAAGAACCTCAGCTGCAAGCTGTCACCACAGAGCCACCTGTCACCTCGGCGCTGTTAACACATTCATATGCACATATCCACAGATACAACAGCCTAAAATTCCAGCTCCAGGGGATCCAACACAGACATCACAGACAGAAACACACATAAAAAATTTAAAATAAAAGTCAACCTTTAATTTTAAAGAAAAGGAAATTGGTCTCAGCTACATAATGAGTTAGAAGCTAGCCTGGGCCATATAAACCTCAGCCTCAAAAACACAGCAACACACACACACACACACACACACACACACACACACACACACACACACACACACACAGACACACACCACGCAAATGACTATAGTCAATTTTAAAAATTAAAAGACTGAAAAAGAATTAGGCACTGGTAGTGCATGATTTAAATCTCAGCACTTGGAAGGCAAAGGCAGGTGGATCTTTGTCAGTTCAAAGCCAGCCTGGTCACAAAATGAGTTTCAGGACAGCCAGAGCTGTTGTACCGAAAAACCCTGTCTCAGAAAACCAAAAGGAAAAAAAAAACAAAACTGAAAAATTAATACTAACAACTAAGTCTTACTTTGGGAAATGTAATTATAATGAATGAACATATGGGTTTTATCCTTTGATGTGGGATGTCCCTCTATATGCTGTGAAGATGTTTTATTACCATTGGTTAATAAAGAAGTTGATCTGGTCAATAGCCACGCAAAATAGTCAGTCGGGAAATCCAAGCAGAGATACAGAAGAAGGGCAGCGTCTGAGAGATGCCAGCCAGCTACCAAAGAAACAAGACATGTAGAAAATGAGGTAATGCCACAGTAACATGCCAATACATAGATTAATAGAAATGGGTTAATTAAAGTTGTAAGAGCTGGTTAGTAAGAAGCTGAGCCAATGGAAAAACAATTAATATTAAGCCTCTGAGTGATTATTTTAAAAGCAGCTGCAGAACTGGGTGGGACTGAGAAACATCCATTTATATTTAGCACTCAACATGGGGCATGAGCCCACAACCCATGTTCTACCAACAGAAAAAGTCTGTCAGATATGTTAGGCCTCTATGGTTAACTAGTGGCTAGCTCCACTCTCTGATCTTCTGGCAAGCTTTATCTGTTAGAGTACTGATGGAGGAAGCCTTCTGTATATATGTTTGTCTTATTGGTGGATAAAGAAAGCACTGTTGGCCAATAGGGAAGAAGACAGGTGGGACTAGGAGTCCAGAAGGATTTGGGGAAATGTAGTAAAGAGTAGGGAGTCACCATGTGATCCTGGGAAGAGAGGACACATGAGGCTTGCGTCCTCGGTAAAATAAGACCTTATAGAAATAAATATATTAGTAGTCATTGGTTAATACTTAAGACAGAACTAACCAATAAGAAGCCCTGGATATTGGCTGACAGCATTGTAACTAATAGAGTCTCTGTGTGTTATTTGGGGTTGATGCGGCTCTGGGACCAGGCTAGCCAGAAGAAATGCTCGGTACAGAGTAAAAACAAGGTATCACCACAATCTCTGAACAGGATGGAGTCTGCCATCTTGGAATTGGTTATAATTGTGCCTCTCTGGACCAGTAATTTTTTAATTTTTTTTTCAGCAGTTAGTCAAGATCAAGAACAACCATTATATAAGTAGTATTACCTACAAAAAGTTAATTATTACAACACATTCATCGTACCTAATCCAAAAACAAAATTAAGAAAGAGTCCTGGCTGGTTGGTGGTGGCACACTCCTTTAATCCCAGCACTCAGAAGGCAGGCTGACCTCTGAGTTCAAGGTCAGCCTGGTCTACATAGTGAGTCCCAGGACAGCCAGGGCTACACAGAGAAACCCTGTCTCAAAAAAACAAACAAAAAACAAAAAAGTAAAATAGAATGTGAATTTAAAAATCTATACAGCACTCAAAAAACTAGACAGAAAAATTCTCAAATTTAAAAATGAGCATATTATATCTGCCTACAATTTAAAAAAAAAAAGGATGTTTTGCTGGGCAACAGTGGTGTACACCTTTAATACCAGCACTCAGGAGGCAGAGGCAGGTCAATGTCTATGAGTTCAAAGCCAGCCTGGTCTACAAAGAGTTCCAGGACAGCCAGAGCTTTTTTACACAGAGAAACACAGTCTTTTAAAAAACTAATTAAAAAAAAAAAAAAACATGTTTTGTCTTTATTTTGAACATTGCACTCAGGAATCAGTATGTAAAGAAATCATGAAAGAATTTCAACTAATTTAAAATAACTCATCAGGAAAAGCCACTAATGTGTGCATTTTTAGTAAAATTATTTTTCACAGTTCTCTATTTTTGCAACAAGGTCACTAGCTCATGACACTAGCAAACAGTGTCTCTGAACTCACCATTGAATATTAACACTGGAAATTAAAACCATCTGGTAAAGAAAAAACACTATGATAGACCCAGTTCAAAACAACCTGACAAGTTACCTGGAGACACTTTTCCAAAGATAAACATGGTCCTACTGAGCCCCAGCCCATCCTCCTGCCTCCACCAACAGTGCTAGGGTTAAAGACACATGGAAATCCACACATGGCTCTTTTGCAAACATGGTTGTTGGGATTTGAATTCAGGTTCTCATACAGCAAACAGCAATCTTAACTGCTGAGACTACTTTTAAGTATTTATTGGCCATTTTGTGAACTGACTGTTCATTCATTAGACCATTTATTGACTGGCAGACTTGTTTTATTTGGGTGTTCAACTTTACAGTCCTTTAATTTTTATATTCTAGATTAACCCTACCTGGCAAGGAGTTTTCTCTCATTTTACAGATTGACTCCTTATTTTGCCAATAGTTTACATTGCTATGAGAGTATTTTTTAATTTCATGAAGTCACATTAGTCAATTCTTAGGGCTTTAGTGGGTACTACTGTAGTCCATTCACAAAGTTCCTGTCTGTCTCTTGAAATGTTTTCCTCTACTAGTTCAGTGTTTCCAGTCCAGTTTTCAAGTCTTTGATTTATTTTAAATTCTTCTCCAGTGAGAAATAAAGATCTAATTCCATTCTTCAGTGGGCAAAAAAACAGTTTGCAATCATCATCTGTTGAGAAGAATGGCTTCCCCCATCCCCTGTGCATATTTTTAACACCTTTGTCAAACATTAGAGGGCTACATCTGTAGCTCACACCTTTAATCCCAGCACTCAGGAGACAGGAGCATGAGTTCAAGGAGTTCCAAGCCAGGCTAGAAGTGTTTTTTTGTTTTGTTTTGTTACTTTTTTAAGATTTATCTTTTTTTTGGGGGGGGGGTGTCGAGTCTCTCTGTGGTTTTGGGGGCTGTCTTGGAACTAGCTCTTGTCTCCACAGGGAGTTCTAGAACAGTTATGGTTGCATATTGAAATCCTGTCTCAAAAACACAAACAAAAACAAAGACACTGATAAACTGAAACATAACATCTGAAAAATAAAATGAAATGGGCAAAGCCAATTAAAAAGGAAACAAAATATGCTTAAATAGAGCCTCTGAAAACTGACACTAGCAAAGCCCAGCACACACCCAACATCAAACATGATAAAAACAGTCTCTAGAGAGAAGGCATGGGATATGGAAGAGTTGGACATTAAGTTAGCACACTTCCAAAGTGTGTGTTCAACAGGGCAATAGGAAACACTAGGTAGACCACATGTGGAAGCAACTTAAGCCCAGAACAGGTAGCCCCATCAAGTATTCCCAGTCTTCTTGAATAAGGTACTGAATATAACTCAAGTCACAATAAAGACCTCAGCTTTGACCGAAAGGAACCTGCAGAGAAAACATGCCAACTAAGAGCTGGGCCAACTGAGGTCTGCAAGCAAGACTCCACCGGACAGAGCTGGAAAGCAAGGATGCTTACACAGCACAGAACTACAGGCTCTCTTTGACAGTCACATATCTAACATGGCCTTCCACACGCTGCTGCTGCTCACAGCAGCCCAGGAGCTAGGGTATTTGGTGCACGGAGCCTACCTGATGGTGGTAAGGAGAGGAATCTGGGTCGATATAGAGCTGCTGTCAAACACTCTGCAAATAAAGAATGAAAACAGTTACACGGCCTTGTTTCTTAGATTCTCCTGTTTTTCTCAAATAGTAACAGTGTATCTCACTATGTATGTCTAGAACTGTCCACCTTCCTATTTGGCCTCATGAGTGCTGAAGTTACAGGCAGGCACCATACCAGCTTGGCATGTACATTCTAAAGTGACAATCTGGCAGCTAAAACTATATTCAGATTCACACACATACATAAGGGTTGTGGAATGAAAACCCACAAATACTCTAGGAGTACACGAATGCATAAAAAGGCAATTTTCCACTGGGCATTGGTGGCACACGCCTTTAATCCCAGTACTCAGGAGGCAGAGGCAGGCAGATCTCTGTGAGTTCAAGGCCAGCCTGGTCTACAGAGTGAGTCCAGGACAGCCTCCAAAACAATACAGAGAAACCCTGTCTCAAAAAAACCAAAAAAAAAAAAAAAAAAAAAAAAAAAGGCAATCTTCCGGGGCTGGAGAGATGGCTCAATGGTTAAGAGCATTGACTATTCTTTCAGAGGACCTGGGTTCAATTCCCAGCACCCACATGGCAGCTCACAACTGTCTGTAACTTCAGTTCTAGGGGACCCAACTCCCTCACACAAACACACATGCAGGCAAAATACCAATGCATATAAAATAAAAATACTATTTTTAAAAAAGCAATCTTCCTCTGACTCTTTAGTTGACAGCCTGATGTGTCATTTTCAAACTGCTGAAGAGACTAAATGGCCAACAGGAAAGTGGGGACCATGATAGAAAGAAGCCGGTCTCAATAGCACACCCCACCTTCTGTGCCCAGCTGATCCAGGGCAAACTCTTGGCACTAGAACTACTGCCTAGTTTGATTACTGAAAGCTTAATTACTAGAGGTTAATGTAATAAGCATAAACTCTAGAGTGTAAATGAATAAAAATGGATAAAAAAGGTAATGAAACTATGTGGGTAGAAAAGGGACAGGGGCTGCCATGATAAACATCACATCATCTCCTGGTAATGCTCACAAACTTTGTTAGACATTAGCTGGGTGCCTGCAGATCATGTGCTTGCCTTCATGAGCCTGGCCCATGGGATACATACAATAGAATACAATTCTATTGTATAGATACTTGCTGAAGGATGAATTCAACTCTTTTTTTTTTTTTTTTTTTTTTTTTTGGTTTTTACGAGACGGGGTTTCTCTGTTTTGGAGGCTGTCGGTCCAGCCTGGCCTCGAACTCACAGAGATCCGCCTGCCTCTGCCTCCCGAGTGCTGAGATTAAAGGCGTGCGCCACCAACGCCCGGCCAACTCTTTTTTTTTTTTTTAAAGGATTTTATTAATACATATACAGTGTTCTGCCTGCATGTATGTCTGCATGCCAGAAGAGGGCACCAGATCTCATAACAGATGGTTGTGAGCCATCATGTGGTTGCTGGGAATTGAACTCAGGACCTCTGGAAGAACAGGCAGTGTTCTTAACCCCTGAGCCATCTCTCCAGCCCCCGAATTCCAACTGCAAATTTGAAACAAAATCAAGGGGTTTTGGGGGGGGGGTTGTTTGTTTGTTTGGTTTGGTTTTTTGAGACAGGGTCTCTCTGTATTGCTTTGGAGGTTTTCCTGGACTTGCTCTGTAGACTAGGCTGGCCTCAAATTCACAGAGATCCACCTGCCTCTGCTTCCCGGGTGCTGGGATTAAAGGCGTGCACCACCAACACCCTGCATAAAAATCAAGTATCTGAATAAGAACAGAATCATTTTCCCTGTAGTTGTACTGTCTTCACATCTTTTCTCTAGAGATGGGGATCTCACTATGTTGTCCATCTGTGCTCTTGATCTGACTACCTCAACCTGCCAAGAAACTAGGACTACAAAAGTCTTTTCATGTTTCTTTAACTTGACATTTTTTTTCAGTTAAGCTCAACTGATTTAAATCAATTTTGGGGAAGCAGCTATAGAAAAGTACCAAAGTTAAAATCCTAAAACAACACCTATTAGCTTGTGCAGAAGCATGATTTTTTGCAGTTTTCTAGATGCCTGAAGTCTGGGACTCTGCAATTTCCATTTAACACACTTTTAAGGTAGAGCACACTTTCCCCAGAAAGCAAGCTTCTAACTGGCATGGTGGAACACACCTGTAATCCCAGTACTCAGAAGGCCAAAACAGGAAGATGGCAAATTCAAGGTCACTTAGAATATAAATATTCTAAGTGGGAGAGGGAGGGATAAGTGGTGGGACACAGACAGATGGAATGGGAGAAAGAAAGGAGATAAAAAAGTAAAGAGGAAGAAAAGATGGAGAGAGAGAGGGAGGAACGATAATACAGTAACATGAGTGATTTCATAGCAACAACAGTAAACACAACTTCTAGTTTATGAACACCATAGCTGCAGTCTCTAAACAGATTCCCTAAAAACATGGTTCTGTCTTCTTAGTTTACCTCAGCTTACAGTCGGCACATGTGGTCACCACTCTGTTACCAGTAACAGGTGAAAAATATGCAGAGGCAATGCTCTTCGAATGCTCAGCCAAAGAGATCAAAGGCTGGCTTCCCCTCAAATTCAGGCACCTCACATCATAAATATGAACATCCCTAAGACAGAAAGAGAAATTATCAGTACAGTCCACACAGTGAAGCCCACAGAGTAGGGCTAAACACACTCAGACACCTACTAACATTAAGAGCATTTAAGACAAAACCCTCTAATCTATAATTTACAGTGACTGGCATAGAATAAATAAAATACTAGAAAAATTCCAAGATACAGAACACCCATGTTACTTCAGGCACAGAGACTAGTTTCTACAAGGTTTTCAATATCTCTAAGTGCTGACACATGTCTTTATCCTTGCACTCAGGAGGCAGAGGTTGAGGCCAGCCTGGCCTACCGAGTGAGTTCTAGGATAGTCAGAGCTACCATAGTAAGACCCTGTCTCAAAAAAAAAAAAAAAAAAAAAAAAAAAAAAAACAGGAAAGAAAAAGAAAAAGAAAAAAATCAGTTATATCCAAGTAACAAAATAACATGAGTCAAGCTACAAGTTTTCTGTTTATTACAATTTTAAGTTTCATAAAAGTAGAAACAGGGGGCTGGAGAGATGGCTCAGAGGTTAAGAGCACTGACTGCTCTTCTAGAGGTCCTGAGTTCAATTCCCAGTCATGGTGGCTCACAACAATCTACAATTCAATCTGGTGCCCTCTTCTGGCATGTAGGCAGAACACTATGTAATAAATAAAATAAAAATCTTTAAAAAAAAAAAAAAAGCAGAAACAAATACCTACAGTGCCACAGTGCCAAAGGGACAAGTGTGCTTCTTTGAACAGTTTCTCTATTTATTAAACCAAAAGAATGCCTATTTAAAAAGTAATTACACGCTGGGCAGTGGTGGCATATGCCTTTAATTCCAGCATTCGGGAGGCAGAGGTAAGCAGATCTCCATGAGTTCGAGACCAGCAGGGTCTACAGAGTGAGTTCCAGGACAGTCTCTAAAGCCACAGAGAAACCCTGTCTCAAAAACCAACAAAAAAAGAAAGAAAGAAAAAAGAAAAAAAGCAAGTACACTTGTAACATTTCTTGCAGTGTGAAGAGGAAAATTACTTGGTTTCTGTGTAGCACACAAGTCAGAATCAGAATGTGTGTTAAATATGGTGGCACACACTTTTAATCCCAGCACTTAGAAGGCAAGAGGCAGGTGGATCTCCAAATTCCAGGCCAGCCAGGACTAAGAGTGAGACCCTGTAGGTAGGCAGGTGTTGGGGGAAGTCCTGTGCATTTGTCAATAAAGTACTGTTGAGCCTATAGGGAACCAAGATAGGAGGGACTAGGAGTCCAGGAGAACTCTGGGAAGGAGAAACACAGGGAGTCGAGATGTAACGCCATTGGGGGAGGAAGCCCGGAAACCTCTCCAGTAAGAGACATACTTAGATTAACAATTATGAGGTAATTACTTAAGTCAGAGATAGCCAGTAAGAAACAAACAAGGCCAACAGCTTCATAATTAATACAGCGTCTTGTGTGTTTATTTGGGACTGATGCGGATCTGGAACCAGGCGGGCGGGAAGGCTCCTCTCAAGAAAAGCTCCCCTTAACAGGCAGGCAGTTGGTGGGAGGGCAGAAGGGGGGGAGGGGAAGGAAGAAGAGGAAGCAAGGAAAGAAGGGAAGGTCAAATGTCTGAGAAACTAAACTAAATCACGTACTTCTGACATTAAAAGGCTTAAATCCTAACATCTGAGAGCATAACTCAAGCCTGGCTCGGTAACAAGCATCTATAATCCCAGTCCTTAGAAAGGTAAAGCAGGAAAACCAACACAATTTCAAACCAACCTGGGATAGCAAATGGGAACCCATCTCACAAAAAAAAAAAAGACAAAAACAAAAAACAAACAAACAAACAAACAAAAAAACAGAAAAAGAAGAAAACAGGCATACCTTAATCCTGCTGTGATAAAATACTGCCTGGATACTGGATGGACATGAACAGTTCTTATTTTTCCCAAAGATGAATTAAAAAATTTCTCATATGAAGTTCCAGGTGTCCGTCTATCTACCAGTGACAAATGTCCATCCCAGTGTCCCACTAGCAAAGTAGAAGCATCTTCTGCCAAGAAGTCAAAGGAGGAGGGGCTGCTTCCTTCGTTTCTGTACACCTAGAGGAGAATCAACAATTTGGTTAAAGCCCCTAGGTTGGGGAGGTGGCTCAGTGGGTCAAAACACTAACCACACAAGATGGCAATCTGAGTTCAATCCCTGGAACCCCCAGAATAAGACGAATGAGGTGTGGCACATCTGGACTTTCAGCAGCCTGCCATCTTGAAGTGATGGGGAATGTCCTTCTGTATTCTTTTATTGGTTGAGGAATAAAACACTGTTTGTCCAATAGAGGCAGGAAGATAGGGGGCTAGGAGACGAGGAGGATGCTGGGGAGAGACGCAGAGAGGCGCTGGAAGGAGATGCCATGTAGCTGAGGGAGGAGTAACAGGTCCACACCCTTCTCCGATAAGATAAAAACATGTGGAAATACATAGGTTTATAGAAATGGGTTAATAAGACAGAGCTAGCCAATAAGAAGCCCTAGATATCGGCCAACAGTTTTATAAGTAGTATGGCGTCTCTGTGTGCCTTTGGGCTTAAAGATAGGTGGGACCTGGAGGGAAAGAAACTCAGTAACATTGGAGTGTCAGCACAGCAGCACAAAAGTGGGACAGCAATGACTGGCTCCCCAACGTTGTCCTCACCTCTACATGTAGCCAAGGTTGGTCTTGAACTAATGATCCCCCTGCATTCTCTTGCCAAGTGCTGAGATTATATAAAAACATTCTTTTAAGGAAAACCAATGCTTACATTCCTAGCGAAGGAGTTATGGAATGCTTTCCAAATGATGTCATTTACCCTTCTTTCATCCACACAGGAATACAAAGCAAAATGAAAACACTGGGACGGCTTGCCTAAATCAAATGGTCCGTGAATCCACATCAGAGCTACATCTCAAACCTGAAAACCTACAGTTCCAAATCTACTCTGGGAAACTTACCAGCTCTGAATTCTAGCTAACTAAACTTATCTCTCTCTCTTTTTTTTTTCCTTTTTCTTTTAGAAATAGGGTTTCTCAGGGCTGGATCGATAGCTCAGCGGTGAGGAGCACTGGCTGCTCTTCCAGAGGACCTGGGTTCAATTCCCAGCACCCACATGGCAGCTCACAACTGTCTGTAACTGCAGTTCTAGGAGATCTGACACCCTCACACAGAATATATACAGGAAAAATGCCAGAGTTCATTAAATAAATAAGTCTTTAAAAAAAAAAAAAGAAATAGGGTTTCTCTGTGTATCCCCTGGCTGTCCTAGAATTTTCTCTGTACACCAGGCTGGCCTTGAACTCAGAGATCCTCCTGCCTCTGCCTCCCGAGTACAGGGATTAAAGATGTTCATCACCACTGCCCAGCCTAAAATTATATCTTAACAGAAGTAGTTTTGTATCCAAGTGAAGTCTAAGGTATAACTGAATGTTCAATTATAACTATTACTGATAGAAGAATAAACAGATCAAATTTCTTTTGTCTGTTTTCTGAAACATGGTACCTCAGTAGCCCAGGCTGGACTCAAACTCAAGGTATACAGCTAAGGAGGACTTTGAATTTCTGATCCTCCTGCCTCCTCCTCCCAGGTGCTAAGATTACAAGCCTGTGCCAGCATACCAATTTGTGTGGTGCTGAGGACTAAACCCAAGGCCTTGTACCTGCTAGGCAGGCACTCTAATAACTGAACTTATTCTCTAGCACAGATCAAAATGTTTAATTTAATTTTCAAAGTTGGATGTGGTAGCTCATATCTCTTGGGAGGCAGAAGCAGGTGGATCTCTGTTGAGTCTGGCCAGCTTGGCCTACATAGTGAGTTCCAGGACAGCCAGAGTTACAAAAACCAAAAAGGAAAAAAAAATAATTTGTTTTAATTCTGATTTCACTAAAGGGTAAGTTGTTTGCTACAATCATAGTTGTGATGGCAAGCTGGGCCTAGCACTTGAAGGCTGAGAAGGAAAAAGTCCAGGTCAACCTATGTTACACGACAAGGCTCTACCTCAAAAAACAAATCTGAACTTATCTTTGTTCTTTAATTAAAAGAAAAAAAAAAAAAAGAACAGAGAGAAAAGCCTCCCCAGTTTGTAAAAAAAGATAATTTAGGGATTCAATGAAAAATTAGCCAGAAGCAGCAGTCCGTACTATGGTAGCTATTAGAATAAATGTTTTAAAACCCCTTTTTAAACTGGTGTGTTTGCATACAGTGTGTGCATGTGCATTTGGAGGCAGAGGTCATTCCTCACACAGTTGCTCATTGGCCTGGAGCTCCTTAAAAAAGGTTGGGCTAGCTGGGCACTGAGGGCCAGGGATCTATGTGCCTAGGCTCTGCCTCTCTGGCACTGAGATTGTAAGTGCATGTCATCATGAATAGAGAGGTTTGGTTTTGTTTTTCAAAGATTTATCTATTTTACCTCAAAAAATAAAATAAAACAAGGGAAAAAAACAGGCACCATGGTGCATACCAGCATAATCACAGCATTTAGGAGATAGAAATAAGAGGATTAGAAGTTCAAGGTTAGTCTTGGCCACATAAGAAGTTTCAGGTCAGCTAGTGTATGAGACTTCTTTAAAAGTAGGGTATGGTACAGCAGTAGAACTCTTACCTAGCATGCTCCTTAGCTCTGGATTCAATCTCTAGCACACATATATACAAAAAAAGCTAAATCTTAGCTGAAAGACTATAGAAAAATCCTATTCTATTTTATGTGGTTTATACACTGTGGTACAGACCAAAGGTTTGTAGATTACATGATGTAATTAATGAATGTCCATAAACAAAAATATATTCTAATATTTTTCCCAAAATGAAATGCACAAAGCTCAAGCCTAGAAACAGCACAGTACTTTTATGCAAAAGCTTTTTTCACAAATAAAACAATTATATAACAAGAGTATGGTGGCATGGGCCCATACTAGTCTCAGATAATTCTGGAGGCAGAGGCAGGAGGATCACCAACCAGTTCAAAGCCAGCCTGGGCTTCTTAGTGAGACTTTATCACAAAAAACAAAACAATTTATTCACACGAATTCACTAATTCAATTTAATTTTCATGACAACTCTGTAAGACTATTCCATTTCTTAGCTAAGGAAATGGAGGCACAGGTGTTAAGTAACTCATGGAGGTCACACAACTGATAATAGACAGTCTGAGACTTGAACTTAGTCCCTAAACTGTACCACAGACTTCTCAACCTGACTGATACAGAAATCAAGTGTACCATCTAATAAATGATCCAGAACATCACCCGAAGTCAGCATGTAAACACATGAACATTTACCTCTTCAAAAACAGCACTGGAGAAATCCCCACATCGCAATGTGCCATCATAGCTCAGTGACAGAAGGTGGGCTGGATTGGCGGGTGAGAAGTAAAGACAGCTAACCGGCTGACTGTGGGGATAAAAAGCATATACCCCATCTTCACACTGCCTGGTCTGGAAGAAAGTTGGGGATGAGAAAAAAGACAAAACAAGTGAAAAGTAGTAATGGTTACTATGTCTTTATATCATTGAAGTATTTACACAGGAATTACATTGTGTCTTTGCTTAGTCTAACTCTGCTCACTCTCCCAGACAAACAGAAGCAGTAACCTTTTTTTTTTTTTTTTGGTTTTTCGAGACAGGGTTTCTCTGTGGCTTTGGAGGCTGTCCTGGAACTCACTTTGTAGACCAGGCTGGCCTCGAACTCACAGAGATTCGCCTGCCTCTGCCTCCCGAGTGCTGGGATTAAAGGCGTGCGCCACCAACGCCCGGCTCAGAAGCAGTAACCTTTTAAAAACATGTGTATGTGTGTACCACATGCCCACACAGAAGCCATGACACACATGTGTAAGTCAGAGGACACCTTGCCAGAGTCATTTCTCTTTTTACTATGAATTCTAAGGTTAAACTCAGGTCATCAAGCAAGTACCCTCTGAGCATCTCATAGGCCCAGAATCAACAACTTTACACTGGAATCCTTTGTTTCTTGATACTTAGTTTAACGATACCCAGCAACATTAATTTCACATGTCCATTTTTGCGCAACTATCAAACTAGTTTCTTCTTAACAGAAGCAACAAAAACCATGCTTCTGCCAATGGAGATGGCATGCACATATGATCACAGCTACTCAGGAGGTTGAGATAGGAGGATCCCTTGAACCAGGGATAATAAGGGTGGGATTTAAGGCTTGTCCAGGCAACACAAAACCTCACCTTAAAAACAAACAAACAAAACAAAACAACAACAACAACAAACAAAAAAAACAGCTGGAAAGTTGTCTCAGCAATTAAAATCATTTGCTGCTCTTGCAGAGAACCTGAGTTTGAGTCCCAGCACCTACATGATGCCACACAACTAACTAACTGTAACTCTAATACCAGGGAATCTGTTACCCTCGTTCAATCTCAGAGGACATCAGGGATGCACCTGATGCACATACATACATGCAGGCAAAACACCCATACATGTAAAACAAAAATAAATTTAAGAATTTAATATAAAAATATGGGTTAAATAGTATCAAGTAGTCATCTGGAACTGAGAAAATTTTTTTTGTTTTGTTTTGTTTTTGTTTTTTGAGACAGGGTTTCTCTGTGGCTTTGGAGGCTGTCCTGGAACTCACTTGGTAGTCCAGGCTGGTCTCGAACTCACAGAGATCCACCTGCCTCTGCCTCCCGAGTGCTGGGATTAAAGGCCAGCCTAAACAACATAGCCAAATTCCAGACTTCCAAGGACTGACTATATAGAGACCCTGTCTTTAAAAATAATAATAATAAAAATAAAATTACTTATTTCATTTTATGGACACATGAATGTATGGCACTTGAAGAGGCCCCTGGAACTAGAATACCAGATAGTTGTGAGCTGACATGTAGTACTAGAAATAGAACCTGGGTCCTCTGAAAGGACAAGAATTCTAAACAGCTGAGCCAAGATCCAGCCCCACAATCACCAATTCTTTTGTCAAGGGTATGCAGTCCTTAGGATCAAACCCAGGGATTTATGCGCACACACACACACACACACACACACACACACACACAAATTAAAAAGATGACTCAGTAATTAACAGCTCTTTCAGAGAATTCAGGTCAATTTCCAGCACCCACATGTCAGGTCACAACAGTCTGTAACTCTAGTCCCAGGTGCTTCTGGCTTCTTTGGGCATCAGGCATGTAATATAGTGCACAGAAATACATACAAAAACAAAATAAGCCTGGTCTACAAGAGCTAGTTCCAGGACAGCCTCCAAAGCCATAGAGAAACCCTGTCCCAAAAAAAAACCAAAAACAAAATAAAGCAAAAACATAAATTTTTAAATGAAAAATAAATAACATAAGTGTAAAAAACAAAACAAAACAAAACAAAAACAGCTTGGTGTCACACCTTTAATCCTAGAACTTGGAAAGGTTACTCAGGCAGAGCTCTCTGTGATTTTTCAAGACCTGCCTGGACTACATAACTATCTCAGAAAACAACAGCATCTTAAAAAAATAATACAACATGAATATGGAGGAAGATATAACATTCAAGTCATAGCAGATCCTATTTTGAACATAATTTAAAAACTAAGACTTTCCATATGCAATTTTTTTTCAAATACACATTTAAGGTCTCCTGCCAGATAATTTATGTCCAGATGGCTAAAGATATTCAAGCTGAAAATGCTAAAGTTCTATAAAACAAATTTAAATTCTGCCAGATTTCTAAAAGTGGAATCAAAGTACAAACTACAAACTTCAAGCAACATTTATAAATAAATGTTCCAGGCTATTCTCTTTAAGACATTTCCTTCAGACAGACTTTAGATAATCTCCCAAAAGGTGGTATCAACTTACCAAATCCCAAAGTCCGATTTGCCCAGACTTGGCCCCAGCTGCTACCAAGGTTCTCACTTCTGATGGATGGAGAGCTACAGAGGTGATCGCACCTCTTGTCACTTTACGAACAGTAGCTTCACTGATAACCATGTCACTTAAATTGGCTTTGTAGCTACAAAAATCGTTAAGTTTAAAATAAAAATCTCAATAGCCCAAATATGTACAAAATAACTCAAAAAATAAAGAGCACAACTAGTAAACTCTGGCAAATATCCAACTTCCTGATGTCAAAAGAAACCAAGGTTATTATTTTCTGATTATAAAATTACTTTTGCCAATTTTAATGATGACATCAAAACTTAGGAGGTTACAGTTAAAACAACATGGCGGGCTGGGGATATGGTTTAGCAGAGAAAGCCACAGAAGAGTACGCTCTCTAAGTACACATACTGCTAGTGACATGTGCTGCAAGTTCATAGATTTTTAGAAGAAAAGGTTTTAAAGAAACAATCCAATAGTATATAATATAAACAATAAGGATGTCTCCAATGTTTGAATTATTAGCCCCATGTTTAGAAATCTAAGAAAAGACTCTACTATTATGTATGCACTTATATACATACATCTAAACAGAAATTAACTCCAAATACCAAAAGGATGAGAAGTATGCTCTAGTAATGTTCAAATACCAAGAAAAAAGGCACAATGTGAAACCATATATACATTAGAACGTAAGTAAAATATGAATTCATTTATTCAACGCTGAATATATACTATATGCCAAGCAATGTTAGGGTTGAGATAAAGTCTCTGCCTTCATAAAGATTCCACCTAGGTCAGGCCAGGCCTACTACTGAAGGCCTATAATCTTTAGCAACTGAAAAATGAGGGTTGTAAAGTCAAGGACTGATTGCACGCAGGCTTGAATTCTAATTTTCAACGTCACACAATCTAGAATCAGTTGTGTCTCTCCGCCATCTCTCTCTACCTACCTTTCCCAGAATTCTCATCTCCTAGTCCCAGCTATCTTCCTGCCCCTTGGCCAAACAGTGTTTTATTCATCAACCAATTAGAGAAGCATATATACAGAAGGACATCCCCTATCAAAGAATGAAGAGGCAACATACTTTTCTTAAATGCCTAAAAGAAAGCTGGGCTGTGGTGGCACAGGCCTTTAATCCCAGCACTCAGGAGGCAAAGGCAGGTGGATCTCGGAGTACCAGGTCAGCCTGATCTACAGAGTGAGTTCCAGGACAGTCAGGGAAACACAGAGAAACCCTGTCTAGTAAAACCTAAAAAGAATGGGGAAATCGAGCTGCACACAAGCATGCGTGCATTTAAGTGTTTTCTGCTCTTGACTGTGAATGTGTGACTAGCTGTTTCACACTCCTGCCACAATGAAAGACTGTAACCTGCAATTGTGAGCCAAATAAACCTTGTCTTCCTTGAATTACCATTGTCAGGTATTTTGCACAGCAATGGGAAATCAAACTAAAACACTAGGCTACAGAATGAGTTCAAAGTGGCCTGGGCAACTTGGCAATACTTTATCTCAAAAATATAAAATAGTGGGCTGAAGAAATGACAACAGTTAAGAACACTTGCAACTATTCCAGAGGACCCAGGTTCAGTTCCAAGCACTCACATGGCAGCATACAATCAGTTCCATGGGATTCAGTGCCCTCTTCTTGCCTCTGTAGGCACCCTCATGCCTCAGGCAGTGCCCTCATGTACATGTAGGCCAAACATTCATACACACAAAAACAAGTATATTGAAATACATAGAGCCAGGTGTGGTGGTGCACATCTTTAATTGCAGCACTCAGGAAGCACAGGCAGGTGGATCTCTGTGAGTTCAAGGCCAGTCAGAATATAGTGAGACCCTGTCTCAAAAAAGTAAATAAATAAATAAAATTATGTATGTATGTATGTATGTATGTATGTATGTATGACTGTTGGCTTTACGGACGCTGTAACGATACGCGACACACAGTTACTGAAAGGGAAGCTAAGTATTTAATTTAGAAAATTACTCACACGATACCAAACCCCGAGAAGCCCAGCAGATCTCAGCTAGCGACTGGACCGGAAGCCGAACTCCAGGAAAAGAGAGCGAGACTTCCTGTGCGCTGTCTTTTATGCCTTCCCCAGTAACGCCCCTAGCCATGCCCAAAAGTGGGCTTGGCTAGTGACGTAGTTCTGCCTACATACGTATACGTCTTTATGTCCAGCCGTATACGTCTTTAGTCCTGCCTAAAGTGGGTGTGGTTAGCGGTGTGGTAAACCGCCCTTTTATTACCTCATCTGTATGCGCCTCTAGTAAGTCACATGTTTCATGGCGGCATAGACTTCCTCCTACATGTATGTATGTATAAAAAACAGGGCTAGTAGCTCAGTGATAGAGCACTGGCCTAGCACACTCAAGCTTTAGTTTAATCCCTTCCTATGAAAGAAGGAAGGAAGCAAACAAAGAAGGAAGCATAGAGATAGTATGGATGGATTTTTTTTTCAATTACTTTCAGGGTTTCCTATAATAGGATACATTATTAAAGCTTTTTTTTAAAGTCCTATACAACATTTATTCATGTATTTTCTGTGTGTGAGTATTCTGTCTTCATGGACACCAGAAGAGGGCATCAGATCCCATTACAGATGGTTGTGAGCCACTATGTGATTGCTGGGAACTCAGGACCTCTGGAAGGGCAGTGCTATTAACTGCTGAGCCATCTCTCTAGTCGGTATATTAGAGCTTTTATACTGCAAGCATCTCAAAGAGTATAAAACAGAGGTCAAAAGTAAAACAAAGGCAAGGAATTTTAACATACCTTTTAATGCTAGACAGCCTCTCCGCGGTTCTCTCATTATTTGTCTGCAACATTGGAAAACACCAAGGACTAAGTTCATATATACACATGGAAATTTCCTTAGATGACTCTAAAAGCCGAAAGCCTTCCCAAGCGATACCTTGCTCATCTCTGCCCATGTCTTCAAAGAAGCTTTGAACAGTTCATTGCTGTCATCTTGGTTTTCAGGAATCATTTCTAAGGGTCCAGGAGGTAACAAAGGCTATTAAAAAGAAAAGGAAAAGGTTGTTTGTCCTAGAATATAAACTGAGGAAGGGCCAAGGTTTTTGTTTCCATTTTCACTTCTTTCCTGTCAACATCACAGGCATTTAAAAATGGTTGGTTGCTCAAACAGTGCACAGTGGTACCCACCTATAATTCCAGCACTCACGAGGCTGAAGCAGGGGGGCCATGAGTTTCTATCCTAGAAAAAAAGTCTTTCAAAATTATGTCAAAGCCTGAGATGTATCTCACTTGGCAGAATGCTTGCCTAGTTAGCAAGCATGACACAAAACAGTTGCTGTGAATTATACCTCTAATCCCAACACTGGGAAGGCGGAAGCAGGATCAGAAATTCAAGGTCACCCTGAACTACATAGTAAGTTCAAGGCCAGCCTAGGCCACTGAGTACCTGGGGTTTTTTCTTGGTTTTTTTGTTTTTTGTTTTTTGTTTTTTTTGGGGGGGGGGTTTTCAAGACAGGGTGTATCTGTAGCTTTGGAGCCTGTCCTGGAAACTGGCTCTGTAGACCAGGCTGGCTTGGAACTCACAGAGATTCACCTGTCTCTGCCTCCAGAGTTTTGGGATTAAAGGCGCGTACCACCACTGCCCAGCTTTGGTTTTTATTTTGTGTATGTGTGATGTGTGTACGTACATAACATTTGTGCTCATGTGAATGTGGACGGACATACACATCACACATGTACAAGTCAGAACAGCCTCTGGTGTTGGTGGTCCTTACCTTCTATCGTATTTTAAAACAAAGTCTCTATTGCTTACTGCTATATACACCAGGACAGTTGCCCACCTGTTTCTGGAGTTCTCTAGTCTCAGCTGCCCATCTCACTATGGAATTAAATGTGTGGTGCCCTACCTAGTTTTACATGGGTTCTGGGAATTCAAACTCAGGTACTATCTGTACAGCAAGCATTTCACTCACTGGGCCAGCTGCCAAGCCCAATCGTCACCAGTTTAATCATATATTACACAGTATTAATTGCTACCACTTATTAATTACTTTCTAAACCCGTAATATACAGAATTTTATGGATTCTATTTAATCTCATCCTACACATTCTTTTGATATTTCCTTTTCTTTTTATTCTAGGCACACTCTTTCTTAGCCTCGAACTGTGTGACCCAGCTTTCCTCAAACTGCGCCAATTCTCCTGTCTTAGCCTCCCAAACACTGGAATTACACATGTGATCCACCACACCATTTTTTTAAATGTTGAGACTGAAATGCACAAAGAGCAAATAATTTGCCCACACACTACTTCCTGCAGAGATACAGAATATTATCTAATGTTAGCAACAACTCTGAAGACTTATTAAATCATACGATATCTAAGTATTAAATTAATAAAATTGAAACAAAACAAAAAATAAATCTAATTTCAAATACTTTAAATTTCTCAATATTTGATTAAGCTAAATGTACTGTATTTGCACTTTTTCTTACATTTTCTTCTTCTTCTAACGTTGGCTGTGTTGGAGCTTCCGGCAATGAAACTCCCGAAGGGTCTACTTTTAATAATCGCATGGATCTTCGACACCCAATCTCATTTTCTTTCTTCTTAGGCCTCTTTCTAAAGGAGTAAAGGAAATATTCATGCTTTTCTCACCGATAGTAAAATGTATTCAGTAACTTGTTGAAGATTTATTTATTTGTTTGTTTGTTTATTTTTATGTCTATGTATATACATGGGCCAGCAAGATGGCTCAGTGGACAAAAGGGCCTACAGCCAAGCCTGGGACCTACATAATGGAAGGAAAATTAATTCCCACTAATTGTCCTCTGACTGCCATACTCATGCTGTAGATGCATATACCCATACCCATACACACACACACACAAAATAAAATGTAATTAAATTTTCCAAGAAAAATCTCAGACAAATATGAAAATAGTACATTATAAGCAACAGAACACTAGGTATGATAGCTAGGTGAGGGCTGAGGTGGAAGATCTCTGGTTCATTAGTTCAAGGCAGCCCCTGTTACACAGTGCATTTCATGCCAATGTACTAAATCATAGGCAGTTAGAAACTGTCATGTGAGTGTTGGGAACCCAACCCAGATCTTCCGAAAGTACTGTTAACCACTGAGTCATTGCTCCAGCCCAAAATTTGTCCAATTTCAAAGGCTGTGTTCTCTTTTTTATATAACCAACAAACTATCAACTTGATTCGACGCCTCTACAAACACTAAGTGCCAGACTCCAGTGACTTCAGAATAAACCACCAATCTTTGCTAACAAACACACAAACTAGGCATGGCAGCATACGCCATAATTCCAGCACTAGAGGTGGAGGCTCGGAAGATAAGGCCAGCCTGGGCTACAAGTCGAAGTCTCAAATTTAAAATCCCAAATCAAAATATCCTGGTCTAGCCAAGCACTACGCACACCTTTTACCTTTTTGATTCAGGAGGCTGTCTCTTCTTTATCATTCCACGGAGCCTTGCAGCTGACTGAAAAGCACACAAAATACACTTTCACATAAAAACACTACCATGTAACTACACTGTTTACCCATTAAAATACTAAGCATTTGGTACTATATCCAGGTTTACTTAGGAAATATAGATTTTTAAGATTGGAAACTTTTTCTTGGTAATAGAATGAGATAAATACACCATCAATAATAAAAGCAAGGGACTGGAGAGATGGCTCAGAGGTTACGAGCATGGACTGCTCTTCCTGAGGTCCTGAGTGAGTTCAATTCCCAGCAACTACATGGTGGCTTACAACCATCCAGTGCCCTCTTCTGGAATGGAGGCAGAACACTAAATGCATAATAAATAAATCTTAAAAATATAATAATAATAATAAAAGCAGGTATATAACACTATCTAATATGCTGGCATTCTGGTACCTTGAGCCGAGGGCTTCTGAGTTCACATGATTTAATCAAACATACTATTACATGGCTGGCAGGATGGCTCAGTAGCATAGAACTTGCCTAGAATGCACAGGCTTGGTTTTAATCACAGCATTGTAAAAACAAATTTAAAAAACTAATAAGCAAAGATAGATAGGTGGCTCACACCTGCCTATAATCCCAACCTTCAGGAGGCTGAAGTGAGACAAATGTAGCAAGTTCAAGGCCAGCTTGGCTACATAGTGAGATGGCTCCATCCGTAAGAACCCTGGCTGTCAAGTCTGATGACCTGAGTTCAGTCATCAGCACCCACATGGGGGGGACAGAACTGACTGCCGAAAGTTGTCCCCTGACCTCCACACGTGTGCCATAGCGTGCAGCACATCCATGCCCTCTGCCTTTCTCTACCTCTCTCTCTCAAAACTAAGAAAATTAAAAAATAATAAAACATGGGTCTGATGCAGCACAGCCAAAGAAGTAGAAAATACATAAATCAGAATATGATTCTTTGGATTTATCCCACACCATCTTCTTTCAACAAATTATATATTAAGGGTCTAGAGAGATGGTTTAGCAGTTAAGAGCACTGGATGCTCTTCCAGAGGTCCTGAGTTCAATTCCCAGCAACCACACCTCACAACCATCAATACTGGGGATCTGATGCCCTCTTCTGGCATAAAGGTGTACATGCAGATAAAGCACTATTCATAAAGCTAATCATTTTTTTAAAAAAGAATTAAATATTAAGTCCAACTGGAAACCTTTTAGTTAATGTTGGGTTTTTTGTTTGTTTGTTTGTTTGTTTTTTTAGATAGTTTCATGTAGCCCAGACTGACCTCAAACTTACTATGTATGACCTAGAAATACTATTGTTCAGAGGCTGGGGAGATGACTCAGTGGTTAAGAGTACTGGCTGCTCTTCCAGAAAACCCGGAATTAATTCCCAGCACCCACATGGTAACTCACGACTGACTATAACTCTAGTTCCAAGGAATCTGACACCCTCACACAGACATACATGTAGGTAAAACACCAATAAAACAGGAAAATTTAAAAAAAGAAAGAAATACTATTATCTAGTTTCCTTCTACCTCTCAAGTTCCGAGAGTTCAGCATACATACAACACCCACCAGCAGGCTCACAAAAGTGTCTTAGCAGGGCACACAAAGAAAAACAAGCGCATGCCTTTAATCCTAGAATTTAGGAGACACAGGCAGGCAGATCTCTTGAGTTCAAGGCCAGACTGGTCTACAGAGTAAACTACAGGATAGCCAGGGATACACAGACACCCTGTCTTTAAATAAACAAAAGGATGGATGGATGGATGGATGAAGAAGGAAAGCCAAGCTGGATGTGGTGGTGCACCCCTTTAATCTCAGCACTCAGAAGTTGGGAGCAGACATGTCACTGTAAATTCAAGGCTAGCCTGGTTTACACAGTGAGGTCCAGGGAGACTCTGTCTCAAAACAGTAGGAGAAAGACAATAACCACAAAACCAACTAACCTTATACCACTATGGAAAATCATTACCTAATTATCTCATCTTGGTTTTCATTACAAACTCCATACATACCTCAGATAACTGAAGGGAAGCAAAAAAGTTTGCATTCTCTCTGATGTTCTTCAATCTCTTCCTTTCATAAGGTGACAATCCTGAAAACTCATCCTAGAAAATACACCCCCCCAAAAAAATCACACATTAATAGCAAAAATAACACACAAAACCAAATTCTTCAATCTCTACCCAGATATTTCCTTTCAAACTGCACAGAACCTCTAATTATTTCATGTTATCTAACAAACAGCTCATAATCTTTGCTGGAGAGGACATTAAAAGAATCTGAACCCACATGGTTATAAGATTGTGGTGGTGCACATCTTTGACCCCAGCACTAGGGAGGCAGAAGCAGACAGATCTCTATGAGTTTGAAGTCAGCTTGATCTCTATAATGAATTCCAGGACAGCCAAGGGCTATGTAGAAAGACTCAGCCTCCCAAAAAAAAAAAAAAAAAGTAATCTAGAATCAGCAGCCAAATGCCATGCCCTTATAGCAAACTATTTCCCTAGCAGCCAAAAGCTATCTTTATTAAGAAATAATAATAGCCAGGCAGTGGTGGCGTATGCCTTTAATCCCAGCATTCAGGAGTCAGAGGCAAGTGGATCTCTGGGTTTGAGCCCAGCCTGCTTTACAGAGTGCGGTCCATAACAGCCAGAGCCATTACACAAAGAAACCCCGTCTCGAATAATAACAAAAGATGGAGGAGGAGGAGGAGGAGGAGGAGGAGGAGGAGGAGGAGGAGAAATTAATAATAATAAAAATAAAACCTCCATTTTAAAAAAAGTTAATAAATGGATGTATGGGTGGTTCACACCTGCAATCTTAGCACTGGATGGCAAAGACAGGAGGTTCTTTGGGTTCATGACAGCCAGTGTAGACATCAATGAACTCTATGTTCAGTAAGAGACCTTGTCTCAAAAAGTAAGGTGAAGATCTATAGAGAAAGCCACTGAATGTCAACTTCTGATCTCCATACATACACATACAGAACCTGTACACACACATGTATGAGCCTCGCACAAAACATTCTGAGTTAGCTGTAATAATATATACCTGTGATCTCAACTCTTCAAGAGCTAGAGGCCAACACAGGGGCTGAAGAGCTGTTTGTTTACAACTTTGCCTAAAACATACAAAGCCTTGGGTTCAGTCCCAAGCACTGGAAAACACTATGCATAAGCACAGCATTTGGGAAGTAGAGATAAAGACCAGAAGTTTAAGGTTACCCTTGGCCACATTCCAGGTTCACGCCCAACCTAGGACAAAGAGACCTGTCTCCAAAAACAACAAAAAGGACAAATTTTTAAAGAAAATTTAGGGCCTAGGGATTAGCCCAGTGGGAAAGCAAGTATTTAGCATATTCAAGCCCTGGGTCCAATCCAAGCACCACAGGAAAACCAGGCATAGTGGCACATGCCTGTGATCCTAGTAAGAGAATCAGGAGTTCAAAGCCAGCCTGGACTTCATGAAATTTGCTCTCAAAAACCAAACACCAGGAAGACTAGATAGCTCAGCAGTCAAAAGCACATGTCACCAAGTCTGAGGACCTGAGTTCAATTCTTGGGACCCACATGGTGAAAGAACCTTCTCCAGCAAGTATGTACAACCACTCTGCCCACACTCTGTGTGTGTGTGTGTGTGTGTGTGTGTGTGTGTGTGTGTGTGTGTGTGTGTGTGTGTGTGTGTGTGTGTGTGCTGGTTATGAGGTCCTCTCAAAGATCACTAAGAATTGTTAACTATTCTTGCAGAGCACCCGAGTTCAGTTCTCGGCAGCCATATTGGAAAGCTCATAGCTACCTATATTTCTAGCTCTGGACTCCTCAAAAACTCAAAACTCACTCTCTCTGTCTCTCTCTGTCTCTGTCTGTCTGTCTGTCTCTGTCTCTGTCTCTCTCGCGCTCTCTCTCTCTCTCTCATAATGAAAAGTTTTCAAAAAAATTAAAATAGCCTGAGCGTGGTAAGAATCCAAAAGATTCCTCAGACTGTACATAAGTGTGCACACACAATATCTAAAACAATAAAAAATAAATCTTCAAAAGAAATAGCCTGAGCATGGTAGCACAAGTCTTTATGCCAGCACACAGGAGGCAGAAGCAGGCAGATCTCTCTGAATTTTAGACTAGCCTAATCTACACATGGAGCTCCAGGGCAGCCAAGGCTACAAACACTCCACCTCAAAAGAAAAAAGAAGTGGCCAGTCAGCGGTGGAGCAACGGTTTCAAAGCTACACTGAGAAACCCTGTCTTGAAAAGCAAACAAACTGATCTTTACACAGTGTTGTTTACTAACACACAGCACTATTAGAATTCCAACAGTTTTCAGACCAGAATTAGGTCTTTGCCATCTCCTCTGATCCGTGACAGTCCCTCAGTCTTTCATGTCCTTAACACTTTTAAGAATGGATGGCACTTTGGATATTTCTCAATTTGGGTTGTCTGGTATTTTTTCGTGGTTAGATTATGTTTTGTTTTGCTTTTTTTTCTTTGTTGCTACAGTGTCTTGGGACTGTAGGCCTGCATGACTACTACTGGTTCTGTTTTTTTGGTTAGACTATCTCCAATTTTTTGTTTGTTTTTGAAGCAAGATTTCTCTCTGTAATCCTGGCTGTCCTAGAACTCAGTCTGTATACCAGGCTGGCCTGAAATTGAGAGATTCACTTGCCTCTGCCTCCCTAGTATCCAGCTTAAATTTTTTTTTGTTTGTTTAAAAAAAAATGTCAGGTGTGGTGGCTCGTGGCTTTAATCCCAGTACTCAGAAGGCAGAGGCAGGTGGATCTCTGAGTTCAAGGCCAGCCTAGTCTACAAAGCTGAGTTCCAGGACAGGCAGGGCAATACAGAGAAAACCTGTCTCAAAAAAGAAAAAAAACAAAACCAGAAACCAGGAATGTAGTTCTAGTGGTAGAGTGCTTACCTAGCATGAGCCCTGGGTTCAATCCCCAGAACATACAGCCGGTGTGATGACATTCACAGCATGTACCTACCTGTACTCTCAGCCCTGAGAGCTAAAGTCAGAGGATGAGAGCAGGCTACGGTTTTTGTTGTTGTTGTTGTTTTGGGGGGCTTTATAATACAGGGTTTCTCTGTGTAGTTCTGTAGACCAGGCTGGTCTGGAACTCATAGAGATCTGCCTGCCTCTACCTCCCGAGAGCCATTACTAAAGGCGCATGCCACCACCTCGAAAGCAGGCTGTCTTATGGTTGTGAGCCACCATGTGGTTGCTGGGAATTAACTTAGAACTTCTGGAAGAGTAGCCAATGCACTTAACCTCTGAGACATCTCTCCAGCACCCAAGAAATTCTTTTTATTAAATTTATCTATTTATTTATTTGTATGTATATGTGTGGGCATACATTCAAAGGTCTCAGAGTATAGTTTTCAGGAGTCTGTTTTCTTTCCACCATGAAAGCCCTGGGAATCAAACTCAGTCTTCAGCCTTGGCAGAAAATACCCTCACTCCCTGAACAATCTCACCAGCTACAAGAACTGTTTTTGAGGTTGATCTTTTTTGTTTTTCAGATGATCTCACTTGTAGCACTGATTGGTCTAGGACTCACTATGTAGACCAGGCTGGCACTGAACTTGCATCTATCTTGAAAGTGCTGGGATGAAAATATGCACCATTATACCAAACTTAGCTATTATTTTGCTTGTTGGCTGTGGTAATATATGTTGAACCTGAGGCCTCTCATTTGCTAGGCAAGACTGAGGCAAGAGAATCAAGAGTTTGAGAATAACCTGGGCTACATTGTGAGTTCCAGGCCAGCTTGAGCTACTAAATGAAACCGTGCTGGAAGAGGGGGCCATCAATTCTTTGTTAAAAAAAAAAAAAACTAGTAGAAAGATTGAGAGATATAAATTCACAAATGTTCTCAGAAAATAAAATAATTCTATACTTTCTGTCCAAGGCTCTTACATAATGGGAGGGGGGTATAAGACTAAACACTACTCCTAAAGCGCAGCAAAACCTTAGTCACTCTACTCCAAAGAGAGGCTGCTCAAGGGCAGTGCTTGTGTAGCATGCACAAACCCTGTGCTCAATCCTCCAGCACTTTAATGAAAAATAACGGTGACAATAACAAGAGAACAAGCTAGAGAGCCACGTGATTACAAGTTATCTTAGCCAGGCATGGTATGGTGGTGCAGCAATCCCAGATAATATATAGGCTGACACAAAAGGACCTAAGGTTCCATGGCCAACCTGGCCACTTGTAAGACCCTGCTTCAAAACAGTATCTCACTGGTACATTGCTTCCCTAGTGGTAAATTAACATTGTATCTTAGTTTGTCTTTAAACAAAGAAGAAAAATGTATCTTAAGTCACTAGAACCACTTAAACATCTCTATTGCTATAGTTTCTATTCCTTATATCCAAACAAAAATAAGCATTATGTTAACCTCATATCCAGTAGTCTTAGTTTAAAACATAATTTAATCCAGCGGTTCTCCAAGTACAATCCCAGACCAATAGTATTTATCAGTGCCTGTAAGAAACTAAGGCAAACGGGTGGTGGTTGTGCATGCCTTTAATCCTGTTACTTGGGAGGTAGAGGCAGGAGGATCCCTGTGAGTTGAAGGCCATTCAGGTCTACAAAGTGAATTCCAGAACAGCCATGACACAGAGAAACCCTTTCTCAGAAAATGAAAAGGAAACTATAAAAACAACCAAGCAAGGTGGTACACACTTTAATTCCAGCATTTAGAACATCTTTAATCCCAGCAGTTGGGAGGAAGAGGCCAATGTGATCCACATTGCAAGTTCCAGGCCAGCCTTTGCTACATAGTAAAAAAAAAAAAAAAAAAACAAAAACACACACACAAACAAACAAAAACCCATTTAATTAATTATATTTAATTTCCAGGATGGCACACACCTGTAATCCCAGCACTTAAAAGGGAAAGGCAAGGAGATTGCAAGTTGGAGGTTAACCTGGGTTATGTAACAAGATTCAGTCTCAAAAACTAAAAATTAAACTGAGCACTGGTAGCCTGTCTTTAATCCAGTACTAAAGAGGCAGAGGCAGGGGCAGGTGGATCTCCATTAAGTTTAAGGCCAGCCTGGTCTACAGAGCTAGTTCTAAGACAGTCAAGGCTACAGAGAAACCCTGTCTTGAAAAACAAAATAATGATAACAAAAAAATTTAATTAAAATTAAACACAAGAAAATTTACATTACATTAAAAGGCTTACAAGATGGTTCATCGGGCAAAAGTTCTCATGTTCGTGCCTGAGAACCTTCTTTTTATTCCTATAACCGCTATACCGGGACACATACATGCACACTCCTATGCAGACACACACAAGCACATGCATACTACACGGAACACTTTTTTAAATGTACATTAGATAGTAAAACAGATTTTGCTGGGGATCCTTCGCCACCTTAGCTTTCAGAACTTCTCATTTCAAAATGAGAAGACAATCAGCACATCAGCACTCAGTAACACTTACCAGGCCGGGTGCACTGTCTTCACCACTGCTCCCCATGTCTACACAGAGAGCCGCCGACTCTGCTGTGCTCCTGGGTCTCGGCTCCCGTTCGGCATCCACAGGTGGCTTCAGCAGAAGGGACTCTGTCTTGGAAGATACAGCCTTCATCTTTGACGTTAAAGCCTCTCTACAAGTTTTCTTCCCGTCAGTCTTCTCGCGAGCCACCGCATTGTTAGAATTACTTTCAAACGGAGATGTGGACAACTTAAATAGTGCTAGCTTGGAATTGCTGAGTGAAAATGGAGAGAGATAAACCTCAGCTGTTTTCCCTGAAGTTGTAGTATGTATTGGTCTCAAAGAAGTATAAGCACTATTTCCATTTTCTTTATATTCATTCACCTAGTGGGGCGATAAAGGAAAGGAGTATTAGAAATCCCAGATCCTATGTTCCTCCTTACAAAACACTAAGCAAATCTGCAAAAGCAAATCTAACTCCTACTTCAAAGTGACATGATTCAAACTGGTGACGTTAGGAAATTTTTCCCTCCTCCAAAATCTGGATATTTAATTCTCTAACCTGAATGGAATCACTGAAGGCATACTTCTTAATCCTAAGTCTGTAACTGAGATAATTACTAGGAATTACTTAAAGCTGGCAGTAACTGCTACAAAGTAAAGGCAGGGAACAAGAGGAAAGGGCCCCAAGACCCATCCTAAGGTTTCGGAATTGTTTTTGTTGTTGTTGTCGTTAGGGAAAGCGTGGGAGGTCTGACCTAGCCCTGGCTGGCCTAGAGCTCTCTGTGTAGACCAGGCTGGCCTCAGACTCTGAGTACCACCTGCCTCTGCCTCCAGAGTGATGGGATTAAAGGCAAACCTACCGTTATTTCTGGAGTTGGTAGGAAACTTTCCTCAACTCTTTAACGACCTAATTTTCTCTTTGAAGGAAAAAAAAACAACAAGAATCACAGCATTTCCTTGGCGTCAGGTGCCAGTGTGTAGCAGATCCCTCCCGGGCCGAATCAGGTCTCACCTGCACCTGGGGACACTGTTTGGAGCCCGCCTTTTTCTCAGCTTCTGCGTCGCACCCAGACATCTTTCTGCCCCTGAGCAGCTGGGCTCTTCCCGAGAGAACGTAGGCGGGATTGGGCGGGGCCTCGCCTGACACGTGCAGCCCCGGGGGAGGAGCCTCCGCGGTCTGGGAGGAAGTGCAATCGGGACTACCTGGGCCAAAAGGCCCTTAGGCGCTTTTTTTGTTTTGTATCCTTGATTGCTACCTGCTCTGCCCATGCAGATAGTCTACCGCTAATCCTGCAGCTCACCTTTCGGGTTGGACTGGCTGACAGCAAACTCCAAGAATCCACCTGTTTCCACCCCCTCAATCCAGGGCTCCCCTCCCCCCAGGGTGCCACAGGCACGAAAAAAAAACGCTCTAGCGCTAGCTAGCCTCCTAATCCTACTGCCTCAGCTCCCTGAATGTGGGATCCAGGATCCCAATTAGGTTCTGTAATATTGAGACTAGTAGTTCCCAGAGATCCTCCTTTGAAAAATACTGGCTCGTTAGCTTAGAAAAACACCAGACCTCTGATTTGCATCATGACCCTGAAAAAGATCCATAGCCTCATAAATGCCATAAGGACTGGAAAACAAATGAACATAAAAATCAATAAGCAGCCTGGAAAAAATGACAGTCGGTAAAGCGCTTGCGTTAGGACCTCACTTTGATTCCCAGCATCGCATCTAAAAAGCTGGGGTTATAATTCCAGTAGAGGTGAGGCCAGAAAAGTGGAGTTTTGAGGCTTCGTGGCTACTAACCAGACTAACCTAAACACAGAGCCCCGGGTCACAAAACCAACAGGGGCCAGAGAGATGACTCAACAGGTAAGGATACCCTGCTATGCAAGCTAGTGGTTTTACTTTGATTCCCAGAGCCCACATATAAAGACGATTTTTCATTGCTCTTCTGTTATCTTCATAGGACCATCAAGGCACACACCATACATACCAATAATCATAAAAATAAGAATTTTTTAAGATGGATAGCTCCTGAGGAAGGATATCCTTGTGCATGCTGCAACACCAATGCACAACCCCTTCGCCCGCCCACCCAGATGTTCACACACCATACACACAATGTCAACATTCAACCTTTACTTCTGCCAACTTCCTTGCAATATCACTACCAGGAAATTACCCGACTGCTACTGTATTTTTTAAACTGTAATAAGGGGAGCAGCTAAGCATCATAGCCCATGTCTATCATCCCTAATTTGAGATGTGGATGCAGGAGGATCAGGAATTCAAAGTTGTCATCAGCTATATAGGCAGTTCAAGGGAGGCCTGAGTTACATGAACCCCATCTCAAAATAAGAAGGGGAATAAAGATAAAAAAAAAAGAGCCAGGCGTTGGTGGCCCACACCTTTAATCCCAGCACTCAGGAGGCAGAGGCAGGCGGATCTCAGTGAGATTGAGGCCAGCCTGGTCTACAGAGGGAGTTCCAGGACAGCCTCCAAAACAATACAGAGAAACCCTGTCTTGAAAAACCAAAAAAAAAAAAAAAAGGGGGGGGGGACACATATATGGTGGTTGTTTCTAATAACTGATAACGTTGGTTTAAATTGCACTTGGTGGTTTTCTGGCCCACCTTCCAGTGCCCTGCTCGGAACCTCCTGAGGCCTGGGGAACCCATCCCACGGGTCCAGCCCATCCAGAGACTGCCAGCGACCTGACCCTGCCTCTACCCACTGGAAGAGGTAAGGTTGGACCTGTTTGCAACCAGCCTTCCAGTACCCTGCTCAGAGCCTCCTGAGGCTTGGGGCCTGCACAAACGTGGAACCTATCCAGGGGGAATAGCCCATCCAGGATCTGCCAACATCCTGCCTCCACCCTAGGTAAGAGGAGAGCCATCTGAGAATTGGACTGGTTTGCACCCACCAGGAGAAGAGGAGACTCCTGCATCCACTGTAAGAAGGGATGGGAAGAAGAAAATATAAAAACACATTCAACAGAAAAACCAATATGACACCACCAGTCTTGGGACTCTACACCAGCAAGACCTGAACATCCCAATGCAGATGAAACAGAAGAGAATGATCTTAAAAACAACTTCATGAAAATGACAGAGGCCCTCAAAGAGGATATGAGAAAATCCCTTAAAGAAATGGAAGAAAAAGCAAACCAAAAAATACAAGAAATCAATAAATCTCTTAAAGAAAGCAAAGAAAAAACAAACAGATGAAGGAAACAATTCAAACAGTTCAAGACATGGAAACTGAAAGAGACAATAAATAAAACACAAACTGAGGAAATGCTAGAAATAGAAAAGCTGGGTAAATGATCAGGAAGAACAGATGCAAGCATAACCAACAGAATACAAGAGATGGAAGAGAGATTCTCAGGCACTGAAGACACACTAGGAGAAATAGATTCATTGACCAAAGAAAATCTTAAGTCCAAAGAATCCCAGACCAAAGAAAATCTTAAGTCCAAAGAATCCCTAACACAAAATATCCAGGAAATATGGGACACTGTGAAAACACCAAACCTAAGAATAATAGGCATAGAAAAAGGTGAAGAAACCCACCTCAAAGGGGCAGAAAACATATTCAACAAAATCATAGAAGAACACTTTCCCAACCTAAAGAAAGACATGCCAATGAAAGTACAAGAAGCTTACAGAACACCAAATAGAGTGGGCCACAAAAAAAAAGTCCCCTTGACACATAATAAAACCCCAAACATACAGAATAAAGAAACACTATTAAGAGAGTGAAAGGAAAAAGACCAAGTAACATATAAAGGTAAACCTATCAGAATTACATGCGACTTCTCTGAAACTCTGAAAGCCAGAAGGTCCTGGGTAGATATTCTAGGAACATTAAAAAGACCAGCCCATATACCCAGCAAAGCTTTCAATCACTGTAGATGGAGAAAGCAAGATATTCCATGACAAAACCAGATTTAAAGAATACATATTCACTAATCCAGCTCTACAGAAAGTTCTGGAAGGAAAACTCCAACCAAAGGAACTTAAATACACGCACAAAAACATAGGCAATAGATAATCCCACTTTACCAACAGCCAAAAGACAAAGGGGGTAGAAATCCACACACAATACCAACAACAACAACAAATCCAAAACAAACAAACAAGAATGAACAATCAATGGTCATTAATATCCCTCAATATTAATGGTCTTAACTCACCTATAAAAAGACACAGGCTAACAGAATGGATATGAAGACAGAATCCATCTTTCTACTGTATAAAAGAAACACACCTCAACTTTAAAGACAGATGATGCCTCAGAGTTAAGGGTTGGGAAAAGATTTTCCAATCAAATGGACCCAAGAAACAAGCGGGTGTAGCAATCCTAATATCTAACAAATTAGACTTTAAACTAAAAGTAGTCAAAAGAGATGAAGAAGGCCAGGCGTTGATGGCACACACCTTACATAAGTGACCCGAAAATTCTACCTACAGCTGACAAACACCTTCAGCAAAATGGCAGGATACAAGATTAACTCAAAAAAATCAGTAGCCCTATTATATACAGATGATAAACGGGCTGAGAAAGAAATCAGAGAAACATCACCCTTTACAATTGCCACAAAAAAACATAAAATACCTAACTAACCAAACAAGTGAAAGACCTGTATAACAAGAACTTTGAGTCTTTAAAGAAAGAAATCAAAGAAGATACCAGAAAATGGAAAGATCTCCCATGCTTTTGGATAGGTAGGATCAACATAGTAAAAATGGCAATCTTGCCAAAAGCAATATACAGATTCAATGCAATCCCCACCAAAATCCCAGCACAATTCTTCAAAGAACTTGAAAGAACAATTCTCAACTTTATATGGAAAAACAAAAGACCCAGGATAGCCAAAACAACCCTGTACAATAAGGAACGTCCAGAGGCATCACCATCCCTGACTTCAAGCTCTATTATAAAGCTATAGTCCTGAAAACAGCTTGGTATTAGCACAAAAATAGACACGTAGACCAATGGAATCGAATTGAACACCCTGATATTAACCCACACACCTACAGGCACCTGATTTTTGACAAAGAAACTAAAATTATACAATGGAAAAAAGATAGCATCGTCAACAAATGGTGCTGGCATAACTGGAGGCTGGCATGTAGAAGACTGCAGATAGATCCATGTCTATCGCCATGCACAAAACTTAAGCCCAAATGGATCAAAGACCTCAAAATAAATCCAGTCACACTGAACCTCTTAGAAGAGAAAATGGGAGGTACCCTTGAATGAACTGTTACAGGAACCACTTCCTGAACATAACATGAGTAGCACAGACACTGAGATCAACAATTAATAAATGGGACCTCCTGAAACTAAGAAGCTTCTGTAAGGCGAAGTACATAGTCAACAAGACAAAACAGCAGTCCACAGAATGGGAAAAGAGGTTTCTCTGTATTGTTTTGGAGGCTGTCCTGGAACTCACTCTGTAGACCAGGCTGGCCTCGAACTCACAGAGATCCGCCTGCCTCTGCCTCCCCAGTGCTGGGATTACAGGCGTGCGCCACCAACGCCCGGCTTAGAACAAATCTTAAAAGAAAAAAATGGTGATCATAACCAGGAATGGTAGCTCACAGCTTTAATTCCAACACTTGGGTGGTAGGGATAGGTGGATCTGTTAGTTCAAGTCCAGCCTGGTCTACCTACTTACTGAGTTCCAGCTCAGCCAGGGTTGTATAGTGAGATCCTGTTTTAAAATAACCAAAAAGCAACAACAAAAGAATTGCTGATCAGAACTGAAGTATCTTTTTTATAATTTTATGTGTATGGGTGTTTTGCCTGCATGTATGTCTTAGTGACAAGCACCTTTACCTGCTGAACCTACTTCGTATTTTTACATTTTAAAAAAAAATAATAATTTTCTCCCTTCTCTTTCCTCCCTCCAACCTTTCCTGCCCCTCAAATTCATGACCGCTGTTTCATGTATATAATATAAATATAATTTTCTCGGCCGGGCAGTGGTGGTGCACGCCTTTAATCCCA